TTGTTATTTGTCCAATATTTCCATTTGCTTTTAAAACCTTAATTAGCAAGGTATAAATAATGGAAAGTAAACTGGATCCCAGAAATTAGTAGTGAGAAGTTGAAACAGTAAATTTCTTCAAAGCCATAACCTATAAACTATTCAAATAACAACAGATTTGAAAATCAAATGCTATTTATTCTAATAACCATAAAATATGTCAATTTCTATGTACACTGTACTTAAAGAGTTCTTTGTCAAATTATTTAAAACTCTTCCAGTGAGAATTTTACTTATTCTAGTTTTGTTTTGTCTTTGTATTTTTTGCCTCAACCTTAAGACTTAGTGAAATGAACTTACCATTTTGTGGTCCAGAGCCCCATAGGGGACAGGCTTACGCCCTCCATCCTGACTATACAAATTCTTACTGACCACATGGAGGTGGGACAGCTGCTGCATCTGATGGGAGTTAAGCAATCCAAACGTGACATGGCTTCTGTAAGATTTAATAAAACATGAATTTTTATTTATAAGTATCTTATCTATTCACCTTTGCTAGATGAGTATGTCTGATTTGCTAAACTCCTCGCAAATCCTTGGCCTATTGGTCTATCAAATGTAGGATTTTTTCTGAGATGTGTAATTATACTCAATTTTGCAGTGAATTGCTACCTTGACCAATTAGCAAATGTAAAGGAAAAGGGCATATTAAGTTTTTAGAACTTTTGCCTCATCCCAAATGTAAAGTTTACAGACAATAAAATATGTTTAAATCAGCAAATGTAATTGCAAATAGAGGTGTAATGATACAGTGTTACATTGATCATATGTGTATCATATCATCAGGTATGTATCATGATACAGCACAAGTTAATTTTCATTGTCTTACTTGAAAAACAAATTTTCATGTTCCAAAATGGTGGAAAACAAGGTTATGACCTACAAGAATCGTATCTTGAGACTGTGAATTCACCCATAATAAATTTCTGTAAGCAGTGTCAAGATATATTCATTTTATATTTTCTACTACTGTTGAGGTTAGAAACACAAAAATATGCAAATACATGTATATCAGTTCATTCAATTCTTGATGGCAATTTCATGACACGTGTTGTATTGCATGTAATAGCTTTCTACCATCAACCACAACATTCCTGATGACTGTAAAAATTCCCCTACATTACAAAGTATAAAAAAAATTAAACAATTCAATCCAGAAAAATAAACTCAAGTTGTACAATACAGACAATAGAATTGAAAATATATTACAATGCCAGTTGAAAAATAAATGTAGTAACCTCAATGCTGACCTTTTTAAAGACCACTTTAATGAATCACCAAAATGTACAAATTGTGGAAACCAATTTGAAGACTCACTACATTTTTTCTTGTATTGTCCACAATGTTTCTCACAGACAGTTGCTGATCAAATATATGAATGAAAATGGTATTCAATTGAGAAAATATATTATATAGTATAGATTCATAATGTTTTCATTTTTTGATAATGTTCATACTCTATAAGAAACTAGAAGAGGTTTTCATAAAAAACTTAAGACAATTATAAAATGCTTGGAAGAATATTATTTTATTATAAGTATGTACAATGTTAAAACTATACTATTTGTAAGGGAATCTTTCCCACATCTGATTCAACATACACATTTCTTTCTTCTCTCTCTGTACTCATTTTATGTACCAATTAATCATTTATTGACACCCTGCTAATCAAATGCTTAAAATGTAATTTATTATATGTACCTTGACTAGTGGATCAAGAGAATGATTAGGATTCATGCCTGCTGTTCAATCCATTTCATGTCACAATGAATAAAATAGTTTTAAAATAAATTGTATGATGTATCGTAGCCGATATTTATCATATCATTAGGTAGCTTGCGATACTCTAGCCTAATTGCAAAGCTATAGTATTTGCTTTTACTCCTCCTCATTACCAATTTTCATAGCTTAAAAAAGAAACTGTTGTGGGGAATGCTCTGTTTTAAAAGAAGGTGTAACAGAGCTGAAAGTGGCCATGCATTGTATATAGTGAGGCCACGCTCCTACTAGCACTAGCTAGTGGGTTAACCCTTTAGCTCAGTTGGTAGAGCGTTGGATTTTAAATCTGAGGGTTATAGGTTTGAGCCACAGTGTGGACACACCTAACTAATTATAATTGGTCATATTTGGCACCCAACTACAAAACCCATATGGTGAGTGGTGTTTATAGAGTCTCGTGTGTGAGATTTCTCAGGGGTAAGAAATCTCAAGAAAAAGAAGGGGGAAGTGTAACAGAGTTGAAAGTGGCTATGTGTTGTATATAGTGAGGCCACGCTCCTACTAGCACTAGCTAGTGGGTTAACCCTTTAGCTCAGTCGGTAGAGCGTTGGATTTGAGCCACAGTGTGGACACACCTAGCTAATTATAATCGGTCATATTTTGGAGGTTCCACCGAGATGACCGTCACGGCACCAATGTGACAGGATTTGGTTTTTACCTTCTGTCTAAGGTACCACTCACGGCACCAATGTAACCGTATTTGATCGTATGAAAGTACTTCTTTTATTCTCAAAATTAACTCATTAAATAACACACATTTTCTTTATCAATAGTAGTACTTCATGTTTTGTACCAACTTCTTATTAACCAATTAATAAACCTTTTGTATCTCAAATAGTCATGAAAGTGACTTACTAACCCAAGAATTTTAATAACAAGAGTTTGCAAATTAACAAGTATTTATTATGGCAACAATTGTGTTTAATTAACAGCACAAAATATTTACATTTATATATTTACAACGAAAACTGATGTCCTAACGACCTTCCTATATACTTTTAGGCCTCAATAAAAATTAGTGCCTACCTAACAGATGTACGAAGTCCAGAGCCCGTCCTACCCAATGCTAAGTCCGAAGAGAAGTGACCCACCCCTGCACGAAAAATCTACTATGCCTAACCTAACTGGTTTACCAAAAATAGAAATAAGGAACTGGAAATTAACAATAAAATGGACGTATAAATAAGGAAAACAAAAAGGACAACTTAAACGAATGAACGAGACAATGCATTACCAAGAATTTTGAACGGGACAGAGACAGAGACCGGGATCCACCCCATTTATCAGAAAGTGAGCTGGCACAAACCTTTGAGAAGGTTCCAAACCAACTGATCTACACGTGAAATACTGGGCTTTAAATACCCCACGATCTGAAGGTGTGTCTCTCTTATCCAATCAAAATCTACGTTCTATGTATAACCCAGACAAGGACGTTTCCCAAATCATTGTATAAAGCTAGAAAGTTTCCGAATGTATAATAAACGATCTTAACCAATCCAAGTTATCGTTATTTGCTAGCTCAGTAAAATCCAATCCTATCACAAAGGTAAGGAGTATGTTAGGAACACAGAATTTTTATCATTTTGAGTACCGCAACCACAAGGTACCTAAATCAATTTCAGACAGCCCAACTTCAAACTCGTATTTTTATTAGTAATACATCATTAACGTACATTATTCTTTGTTGGCTTCAAGAGACTTTTCTCTCATCAAATACATCATTCCAAATAACCTCCATTAAGCCTCTTCAGGGCTTAAGGAAAAAGACTCTTGAAGCAAAATATACCCAGATAAAGTAGGTTAATGATGTGTTAATAATAAAAATACAAGTTTGATGTGGTAGTGTCTGAAATTGAGTTAGATACCTTGTGGAAGGCTTTGTGTAAAATGTGGAGGATAGAGGCTCCAAAATGAAGTGTTATAAAGTGCAAGGGGTGGAGCCTTCTGAGTAAGAGGATGCAAGAGGTAGAGCATCTTGTTGCAATTTTAGCACTTGCTTAGATCTGTCATCTCAATTCCCAATATTCCCTGAGAACTTGTTAGAGAGTGACTCACTATCAAAACAATTAAAAAATAATCACAGATTCTTTGAAGTTGACTGAATGAATCTAATTTATCCCGAAACTCAATTCCAGACCATTCGACAATATCTTATGAAATATGTTAATGCAAAACAAAGAAACAGGAAACAGTAAAACCTTCACATGTTAACAAGGGGAACAGCTTTGCTTTTGATTTATATTTTTAGGATAACGGAGACTGAATAAAACAGGTACAGCATCAAAATTATAATTTGATGCACTGTTGTAATTTTTCTTTCAAAGAATGAGAAACAACCAAGAAACAAAATAATATTCAGCCAAAACAAAAAACAAAAAAGACCTTTAAATATCAAAAACAAAAAGGGGGCTTAAGCTTGTGCTTTCAGTTTAAATTAATAATAGATGCCAAGCGCAACGGAAACATCTTTAACTTCAGAAAGATTATTGTACCGAGCTGCTATCCTACAGTACAGTGATCCATTAAGTTAATTAGGTTTTAGATAAAACAGGCAAATGTGTTAAAATTGAAATTAAGAGACTTCAACCCTTGCACTCTGTGACAGTCTATTTTGGAGCCTCAATCCTCTGCATTTTACACGAAACCCTTGTGGTAAGAGAAAGGAGGATGTGCCCTGATTACCATGTGACCTCTCATTAAAAACGAGGAAAAAATAACAAAAGGAAGGTGTGCATTTTTCTCATAACATAAATATACAGTTTTGGAACACATGAAGGCTGAAGCTGTTGCTCTCTGGTGGTCTTTTTTTTTAAATCCAGACCAGTTAGCTACATGGTTACATGTAATGTACTAGTACTGTTTTTATACAATAAAAAATATCATAACATTACATTTTCTTGGCGACGTCTGCTTCCCGAAACTGCTCTTTTACCATTTTTTTCTATGAAGAATGCAGGACTACATTTCACGTGTTTTCATCAGTCACTTTGCCTAGTTTCACTTTACAAGTGCGAGATTATAAATGCAATTCAAAAAATAAGAGAGTAGCTATGTCATCTTATTCAAACAATGGAGATGTTTTTCAATCTTAGTATATATACAAATAATGATATTATTTTTTGAGGTTTAATTCTCATATCTTGAAAATTTTCATTTGCCTTGAGATTATTTATGACGTCATCTTAACTCCGCCACCTATCGGTAGACGACAGTGTAACGTCCTGTTTCACAAAAAAATCTCGATGTTTGGAACTCCTGGAACCAAGAGACCTGCAGACTATGGATCGGGTTCACGTAAGTATTAATCAAACAGCTTCTTTGTGATCTTTAAGACTAATAAAGTTTAACTATGTGCTGATATTATAACAAGATTCCTTCCTTTTCCAAGTGGCCTGTTGACAACAGTCTCAAACTGTTGAAGCTGAAGTGCAATCTCTTTTGCAGAGTTGTTGTTCGTTTCTGTCTCAGTGAATGTATTTTAGTCTAGTTGTATTTAAATTTTAAAGTGTCTAAAAAACGACTCCTATATTCATAGATAATCACAACTTTGCCTACATGTAAATTAAGTCAGGGCTGGGAAAAATTGGTAAACATTACGTGACAGTACTGTTTTAATTGTAAATAGAGGACTCTCCACTGCGCCTGCATCCTGTGACTACTCGTTATTGTTATATAGACTTGTATGCTGACTGTGCATCCATTGTGGTGAGCACAGAATTTTGTGTTTTCCTGGGTACCTATTCACTTTAAACTTAAATCTGCCTCTTCAAAACACACAAGACATGGAAGGTCTAGACTGTGATGTCAATGTAAGTTGCATTTCCAAAATGAAGTCTGAAAAGAGCAAATTCTTTGCGAAAATTTTTTAATCTACTATCTGCAATGCAGTCCATTAAACAAATGTTTGGTTGAGGCAATTATATTTTTACATACAGGCAATTCTTGATGGCTCGAACTTCGATCTCTCAAATTTCTTGATTGCTCAAAGTGAGTTTCCAGTCCCGAATTTTCCCCCTATATAACAAAGCAAGTTTACTCTTGATTTCTTGAACTCTCAGTCTCTCAAAACCCTTGATTCCTCAAAGTCAAAATGCAGTCCTGCCATGCATATTTTATTGAAATTTACCCTCAATACCTCGAAGGGTGTCCAGTCACTTCGTACACAAACCGAGTCGTACACAAACCAACTCGTATACAAAAAGTCAACTCGTACACAAAAACCAGAAGTCAACTCGTACACAACATTTATATACAATCGTTATGATTTAATTTTATACAAGTAATGTTTGATAACACGAAATGTTACTTTTCTTTAAGTTTTTTAAGTTTTTTCCCCTAAATATTTAAATAATTCAACTTCCCTGATAGGATAGGAACATCAAAGAAGTATTGTTAAACCAACACCCGCGCGGTGGTTTCTTGGATCTGCGACAAACGCTAATTACGAGATGCTCATAATTCGGTATCCTTTAATTATGAGATACTATATGTATCGAAAACGTCTCCAAGTTTCTTCATTCCTTATACTTCACCATGGTTCGAGAGAGTTGTCTTTCCTGCAGCAAGACGGTAAGTTTTTAAAACTTTTTTCATTTAAATAAGTTTAGAAAAGTGCAAGAAAAATGTGTTATACAGTATACCATTAAATTCTTACCATGTATTTAGATCGAATTTACAATCTACACTATATATTTATTTAACATAATAAATTAGGATGCTATAAAATATTATATTCTACATCAACATGCATTACTTGCATAACAGAAAACTTTTTAGAAATATAAAAACTGCGTATATCAATTCTGTTGACAATTAGAAATCCATTTGAATTAAGTTTTTCAACTACATATTTAACAAATAAAATATTTAAATTGTGACTGTGTTTTATGAACAATAATTGACTTGAGTGGACTAGTCTAATAGTGCTTGTTACTTGTGCTTGTTTTATCTTACTTTTGTTTTGGTATGTAAATATTATTCAAATAAAAAATAAATAAGAAATTATATGTCTTTGTCTGTTTTCATTAATAAACCACAACAAAGAATGAAAGATGAGAAACGGCCTCAAGACGGCACAAGAGAATAACAATGGGAAAATTATGTTATATGAAGGAACCAAAATGACCATAATATTGAATAAAAAAGTATAATAAATAAAAGTATAATAAATAAGTAGTACTATAGAGAAATAGAGAGTATATATAATGACATCATGTGTCAATATTCATATAACAAAATTATGTACGACATACATTCCGGAAAATCTTGTCAACAAATCAATCTGCGCATCGCATCGCGCATATGGTATATGGAAATTCAGAGGCATAAACTAGTTAAAAATGTACAGAAAACACATTTGTGTACGAGTTGACTTCTCAATTTTTTTGGAAACTATGGCAAATATTACCCTAAATCACATAGGAAAACGTATGTATGAGTTGTGTACGAGTTGACTTCTGGTTTGTATACGAGTTGACTTTTTTTGTGTACGAGTTGACTTTTTGTATACGAGTTGGTTTGTGTACGACTCAGTTTGTGTACGAAGTGACTGTAAATCCCTCGAAGTGGCTAGGTGTACGCAAGCATTACATAATTAACCTTTACCTGGACATTTAAATGACCCCAGGCAGAAGACACGGGACTCGAGGAACGGGATGTTTATTCAGGTGACATTTATACTGCAAGGTGTTAATATAAATAATGTTGCAACTATTGAATATATCTTGAATCACGATTTAGAAATTCTTGATAGGTGGTCCTCCAAATGGCTTATGAAATTCAACCCATCCAAAACAAAAGCAGTATTCCTTACATTAAGATCTAATTATTATCTTCCCAAACTACAATTTCAACGATGTAAATTAGAATACATAACCTCTCATAAACATCTAGGACTGCTATTGAGCCAAAATCTCAATTGGACTGAACATATAGACAATATATAGTTAAACAGGCTTACCAAAGATTAGGCCTCCTAAAAAAGCTAAAATACAACATTGGTACAAACACACTATCTAAAATGTACATAACTTTTATTAGACCACTACTTGAATATTGTTCTGTAGTTTGGGATGGATGTTCTCTACAAGATGTTGAAAAATTAGAAAAGGTGCAGCTTTATGCTGCGTGAATAATTACAGGGTTACCCATTATAGCTTCAAGAGATGCATTATATATAGAAACAGGATGGAAACCTCTCGCAGAGAGGTGTGAAGTAGGAAAACTAAATACTATGTTTAAAGTACACCACAGTTTGGTACCTGATTATTTAAAAAGTATTTTTCCCTCAATAAGGAGTGTTGAATCAAATTACAACACACGTAATCGAGATGACTACACTATTCCTAGATGCAGACTCGAAATATTTAAGAAATCTTTTGTTCCTGATACAGTAAACCAATGGAATAGTTTAAGTATTACCACAAGAAACAGCTCAACTTTTAGTAGTTTTAAAAACAATATATGTAAAAAACCAGCAGACCCCCCCTCCTTTTTTCTGTTATGGTAACAGATGACTTAATATCATACATACTAAACTACGACACAACTGTATTTTAAATTATGATCTTTATAAAAGAAACATTATTGATAGTCCTAACTGTTCATGTGGTACACCAGAAGACCCATATCATTTCTTCTTTGTATGTATTAAGTATCAACATGCTAGAGAGGAGCTATTTAGAAACCCACTGTGTCTTACTAAACCAAACACTAAATTGAATATTATTGATTGTCACCTACTTCTTTGGGGAGATGAGTCACAAAATTTTGAAATCAATAAATATATTTTTCAATCTGTACAAAAATTTATAAGAGATTCTGGCAGATTCAATTAATTATTACAGCCTTACACTAAAACTCTAGTTAGTTATATATTTATCATGTAATGAATGTATGTTTAAAACAAACATGTTTGTATATCAATATTTTTTTCTATATATAGACCTTGACAATTGTAGCCATTTATGGTGAGAACGTAAGTTGTTAGAACTTGTGTTCAAACCATTTGTGTATTATTTATACAATAAAATATGTTCAAACTGCAAGGTGATAATTGATTGATAATTAATCATATTTTGCCTGTCTGCACTTAAAATAATTAACATCGTGACTGTCTTATGATAATCTAGAGACACAGTGAAAATTGATTATAAGACGAGACACTAATTTTAAATTAGTGTCAAAGTTAAATGAATAATAAAAATGCAGAAACTATACATAGCAGCATCGATGTCAATATGACAACTATTGAAGAATAAATAATTACAGAACTGCGTTCGATGATTATGTTTGGTATCAACATACAAATAGTCAATGCTACCATACGTACAAAGCTATAAAATTTTGTTTTCATGTAACAAATGCGTAGTATGATGTTCATATTACATAGAATAAATAAATAAATATGACATGACGTTATAATTTTTTGCCTTATTTAGTTTAAAAAATATTCACCTAAAAATACAAAGAAGTATCGTTGTTTTACAAAAACCACGTGTGAAAGGTCAAGGAAATGAATAAAAATCATTACATCCAGTAAGACTAATTTTAAAACCTGTCAACCAACCTGGAAAATTCTGGACTCTTGAAAACTCGAACTCTTGATCTCTTGAAGTTTTTCCTCGGTCCTGCGGACTTCGAGGTATCGAGAATTACCTGTAGTTTGTGGCAAGATGCAAGGATAGTGGGTCCAAAGGTTGCTGAAGAAATAAATTCATGTAAGAGCTCACAGCAGTGTGAGCAGTGCTTCACACTGCTCACTGCACTTGCTATTATAAAAGCAGTCCAAATCAAACATTGTTTAAACATTGCTACTTTTGAACACTTTAAGTAGAAGATGTAATTCCATCGTTTTGGTAACTGTAAACACCTTGTGTGCAGTGAGGCATAGCTAAGTATGATTACTTCACATTGGGTGCTGAATTTATATATCTTGTTGACCACAATTGACCTCCATTATAATTTCATTCAAGATGTAACTGTGTGGTAACAAATTGATTGCTTTATATACCCCAAAACTTTTAGAACTTGAGTATAAAATCTCTCTAGGAGATGCAATTTGATGAGTGATTTTTTCATCTCTGTTTTCAGAAGAGTTAAAAGATGAAAATTGAAGTTTCACTGCACCTAATTGTCACTTTTTGTACATGTTGAAGAATAGAATGCTATGTGAGCGGATCAAAGGATATGGTTTTAATCAGATTGGTGACCGTAAAGGCCCTAGGGCCTCTTGTAAAAACACTCTTGATTTCTGTCAGTGATGCAAACTGTGTGTATGTGGTGATTCAAGATTATGTGCATAAACAATCCAGACTCTTGGTAGCATGATAGGCCAAGGGTTTTTGGGGAGAATAGTGGATTAGAATCCCTTTTCTAGTGAAGTTGCACTAAGTACAGGCATCATTTTCCTATCCAACTTTGTTTTCTAGTTTTGCATGTATATTTACCAAGTCTATTGTTTAATTGAGTCATGTGACTAAGTGTTTTTCTTATTCTTTATTAAAAATCATGTTTATTCTTATTCAGTTTTACATTTAACAGCATCATCATGGACTCCTGATGGCACACCTGGTGGGGATAGGAAGAAGAAACGAAAAAGTAGATGGGCACAGGAGAATGAGATTGATAAGACCATCATACCGGGCATGCCCACAGTAATTCCAACTGGGCTGTCCGGTGACCAGGAGAAACAGTACCTTTGTAAGTATCAGAACATCAACAACTAATAATTCTATGTCCATTTTGTAGGGAATTTGTTAAGAAATTGTACTAATGTTAATAATATCATGATTTGGTCATCAATTTGATTTTAGGTCCATTGATGCACAGTGGCAGTAATCCTTTGATTTATAGTTTTTGATGTGCAGATATTTAATTTATTAATTTTACAGCTGTTTTATGTAATATTATAATGATCAAAATTTTATTTCTTACCAGGATTAGGAATTGTGATTTCTAAACATTGCTGAATTTTAGATTTCAGTATGACTGTCATACTTTTGTTCATAATCTTGTAAATTTTTCTAATAATCATATACATGTATATATATATGTTATTTTTATTTTACCTGCACTCATTCCCTCCCTTTAGAATCCAAGATTATAATCTGTTTATTCGGTGATTTTGTCACAGGATATATTTAGCTTTGGTTATACACACTATGAATAGAAGTGTAATTTTTTACCCTGTAGAAGGGAGTGGGGGCAGGGTTTTTTTTTTTAGGGTCATAGGGGGTCTGTATTCTGTCCCATTCCCAATAGTAAAAAGAATGTGTTTTTCCCAATTTCATAAAAGAAAATTCCCAAAAGACAATCGAAACAAACAAATATGGTTAAAAAACTGAACTTGGAATCTGAACTTGGTAACATGTATATTAGGAATGGTTTTCAAAAACAAAAAAAAAATCTGAAAGGCATACTCCAAAAACTGATTGACTGAATGTAAAACAAGTCATAAAATACCTTGCAAATAAAAAAAAAGACTATTATTTGAATTTATTTAGAAAAATGTTAAATATGATATTTTTTCCAATTTCAACCAAATGTCACTATTTTCCCCAAATGGAAAGGCCCATGCCCTTGACTTTAAGGCCTTAAAAACTCGGGGATGGGGGTGGTGAAAAACTCAAAAAAATAGTTAAATCAGTTCTGTCATCATTATGGTTTGTATGGTTTATTGCTCATGTGAGCTTTCTGATCAAGAATTGTCTTCATTGTTTGGATTTTTTTTTTTACTTTTCACTAGATTAACTACCGTATAACGGGTATTTTCTGCGGTTGTCCAATTTTTGCGGAATTTTGCGGATAGGACAAATCCGCAAAAATTACAATCGCAAAATATTTTTCAATATTTCTTCAGATATATATTTTATACATGCAAGTATGATAAGTTGTGCGTATGTCACAGGATTCTCATTAACGCAAGAAGCTGCGTACTGGACGCAGCAAAATTATTTGGGACGCAAGGTTCTTAAAAACGATGCGTCCGCAGACTCATGAGTGGACACGTCCTCGTTAGCGAGAATATTCGGGTGTCATCGAAAGTCGAAGATTTTAGATGTCACTCAGGATTTGTCCAAAACATATTGAATCAAAACGTTCCTGTAAATAATATCAATTTAATAATTTTATAAAAAAGATCTTTTCTTGTACCTATTTCTTTATTTTATACGGATATGCATGTAGGCCTACATGTAAATGACTAAAAGAGATTTCGCAATTATTCGTCCAAACTCCGATAGCTGCAAACAACACATATTAGCTTTTCTTTCTTTCTTTAACACTTTTTTTCAATCTTGTGTTTTATCTTGAGACCATAATTACTGCTTGTATACACAATGTGGCTTGATTGTCTCATGAATTTCACTCAATGCAGACAACTGACAGGATTAGTTACGCCTCATTGCACATGGCACCTGTGATTGTATACGGTCAACTTTAGGTTACTTGATTATGCAACTGTTTGTTTGAGCTTAAAATATAAACACCAGGTTAATTTTGATGGCAATTAACTATAAGAGTATTTTTAGAATATGGCTTGGATGCATTAATTATCTATATATTTAAATATTTTAATAGATCGCATAAAACGTTTGTTACAATGTAGAATAAAGATTTTTATTGTTGTTTGGGTGGACTGATACTGTAATAATTCATTTCAATTGGGACTCGACATAATTGTACAAAGACTAACTAAAAGATAGTAGTTGAATTGAGCTAAACAGCTCAATACCAGTTCTCATGCACCTTTGATCAATATGTCTCAATGAATTTATAAAACGTAAACATGGCAGCTATCTGATAATTCTTAAGAGTTTGGTGAGCATACCCAGTATATATTTTTTTGTGGTATAATGCAACCGCAGAAATTGAAAACGCAGAAATTAATTTGCTATCTTTTAGGGGTTAAATCGCAAAAATTTCCAACCGCAGAAAATACCCGTTATACGGTATTCTGGTGAATAACCATTTCCTACCATATACTTTGGTATAAAATTCAAAGCAGAGATTCCAATTTTAAAGATAAACTATTTAATAGAAGTGTTCAAAACAGAATAGTAATACTTATGATTTTTTTTGTATTTATAATAAAATTGCCAGGACAGAAATTGCTAAGCATAGATGAAAGCTTTGATTAAGTATTAAATGGAAACAAGTTTGTTCAAGTAAATCAGAACATTTTTATGGTACTTTGCAGTGAGAAGCCAAAGTACTGAGTAAGAACCCAAAGTATTCCATAGTTTTAACTGGAAAAGTCAATAAAGCATCCTGTAATCATGTAGGTCCAGAATTCATTAAAAAATGTGATAAACATTGTGAGAAAAAATTTTGGTATTTATTTTTATATATAAATTTACAAGACTAATGTCAAGTTTTAAAAGAATATAAACTCCATACAAATAATTATATTGAAACTGCAGCTTTTGTTTAAAAATGTAGATTAAATTTTTCTCCGATTTTAGACAATAAAGTCATAACAAGAGTGTGATATGAAATACACACAATATGATTTAAACTTGGAGCAAGGTGATTCAGTTGAGCATTGTGGTCCATGGGCCTTTTGTCCTGCTACTTGATTATAACAAAATCAAATCATTTACTTGTCATCATTGATTATTACCAATTGCATTCCAGTGCATCTTCAAATAGAGGAAGTTAGTCGTAGACTACGAACAGGAGACTTGGGCATCTCAGCTAATCCAGAAGAAAGGTTTGGTCACGTGCATAATCAACTCTCATTTCACGCAGGCCAGCTGAATCCCAACATGATAACCAGATTCTAGGGGAATGGCACACACAAATCAGATGGATTTTTCAAAAATAATGTACATGTATTCTTTAAAAGTATTTTTTGAGCATTTAAGAAAAAATTAAATAATTCTTAAAACAATGTCAGAATATACTAAATACTGTTAATGGTTTATGAGAACTTGTATAAAATTTTTATTTATGGAGGAAATAGATAAAATTAATAATAAATAATGCTAATTAAAGATGATGATGCAAATTTTTCACAGTTTTTGAAGTGAAATTATAAAATATGATAAAAAAAAAATTCTCGTTGGTTTACTTTCCCTTTTCTATGTAGACTGGTTTCTTTTGACTAAGAACTAATTTTATTTGCTTCTGTCACCAAAGCATTTGAAACTTTAACTTGGTATGTTTTCATTTTACATTAAAACAATTGTTGGGCTAGTTAGTTTGAGGTTTGGGCTAGTAATTTTTTATTGATCAGTAGCCCCTGGGCTAGTGGGTTTTCCTGGAAAATTTCAACCCCTGAAAAAGTCAGTATGGGTAACAATATTGACAAATCTCAGAGACGATGTCAAACCACTTTTTTCTCCCTGTAAATTTGCATGCAACAAAGAAGGATATTGTATTTGAAAATTCTAATTTAAGGATATCTGAATTGCTATTCAAGGGGATTATTCATTGGAAAGGAATGTAGTTCTTTGGCATTAAAGTACAATTCCGTTAAAACATCCAAATTATGGAAAAAGTACATACCGGGTAAATTTGTACTCCCTATTCCCATCCATTCTTTTGAAAAAAAGGGAAAAAAGATAAACCCTAGTACTGAAATAAACATGCTTGACAAATTACACTCAAAATTTTTCAACTGATTGTGTGTGCCTTTACCCAATATCCTTCAGGTATAGTTTTATGTATAATTAGGACTTGTTCTAATCAGTGTTTCTATTTTGCTAATGACGATTTTGTGTGAAGGTCATTCAGCGAGGAAGGTGCTGTAATTTTATTCCCTTAATTTCAGAGCATGTTGATTTGAATTATAACTTGAATAAGCTTGAAATTGATGAACATGTACAACTAATTTGTGATGATAAATTCCTTCATTTCAGTTCTATTTCTGATATATGTCCATTATTGAACAATCTCACATTCTGAAAATTGTTGATGTATTGAAGCATTATATGCATTTCTGGCTAATTTATATTGTCATAATTAATTATCTAGTATTTCAGGTTAAAGTTTTTATGTTAATATTAATAATACAGAATTCACACTTTTTCAGATAACTAAGTTTCAATTTCAGATGATTTTACTTTTGTTTTTTGATACTTGGTTGATTTCGAAATTTTGTTACTGGTACATTATACTTGGATATTTTTCTTGAACTATCGGTTTGAGCTTATTTTTCAAAGAATCCTGTTTTAAATAAAATAAAAGAAGTTTTTGAAGGGAAAAATGAAATCTTTAAATTATTGACACTACCAATTGATTTTTGTATTTCTGAGCAGAGATACTTCAGGGATAATATAGTTTTATGAATCTTTAAAATGGAATAAACGGGACATTTTGAAGGACAATCTTTTTTAGGTGAAATTAGTACTTAGTACAAGTGAAGAAATACTATTCAAATGTGTTGCTAAGGAATATTGGGGGACTATAACCCAGTTGATTTCATATTGATTATTGTTTTAATTTTGCAAAACGTTCAGACTTAAAGTTTTGAAATTCACTTGAAAATTTCACTGATGTATTAAGAATTTTAATTTGCATGAAGCTTGTTCAAATACACATGTACTTGTGAATTATTTGCATGACTTATCATATATGTCCAATGATGATATACAATAATAATAAATTAAACAAGGGATAAAGTTAGCATCTTAAAGAAGAGAAAACTTCATTTTATGTTCCTGAAATTAAAGTTTGGTACATTTGCTTTTTTGGTCTATTCAGCCATTGTGTTTCACAAGCACTCCTTAATTCTTGACCACATTCTTATAGTGATAATAAAATATAAGGGTGCCTGATGGGGGGGGGGGGGGAGGGGGGCATTAAAATTATTGCTCTAGAGGCAGTTGGGAAAGTGTCTCAAAACTTTTAGAGAAATCTTCCATTATGCCAAATTTGTATTAAAAGTTTGCTAAAATTTTAGCCCTAGGGCCAGGATGAAGTTTTGGAATTTGAAGGGTTATTATTGGACAAATATGGTGAGTTAAAAAAATCTCGGGAGCCTTAGCATTTTAATCTTAATTTTAAAGGTCACCTTCTCCAGAGCCAATCTATAACAATGAAGGCAAGAGACTAAACACCAGAGAATATAGGACCCGTAAAAATCTAGAGGAGGAGAGACATCGTCTAGTTCAGCAAGCCATCGCCCTCAATTGTGACTATAAACCACCAGCAGATTACAAGTAAGCTTGTCAGTCTGTACATTGTTTTTACCATGAACCTATTAGAGCTGCTAACTTAGTCACAATAGAGAACAATGAAATTTGTAAATGAAATATTTCACTATTGTAGGCCTCCAATTATTCGAGTGAATGACAAAGTCATGATACCACAGGATGAACATCCTGAGATCAACTTTGTGGGACTCCTTATTGGACCAAGAGGAAACACTCTTAAAAATTTAGAGAAAGATGTAAGTTAGAGTAAGGTACATTCATTTTATTTTGTGTACTTTCATTATGAAGGGTTTTTGACCTTAAGTTTCAAATCATGTATTACAGACTGGAGCAAAAATTATCATTCGAGGTAAAGGTTCAGTGAAAGAGGGAAAAATAGGCAGAAAGGATGGTCAACCATTACCTGGTGAAGATGAACCACTCCATGCTTATGTAACAGCTAACAATCCAGAGAATGTCAAAAAAGCAGTGGAGAAGGTAATTATAAATAAATCAATGAAACATACATTGTATTTATGTTTTTCCAGTAGAAATTATATGAAGGAGGTATGTATATATATATATATATATATATATATATATAGGACTACAAAGTCCGATGGTGACGCCAAAGTCCGATGGTCTCGCCAAAGTCCGATGGTTTGAGGTCGATACGGAAGCCAAAGTCCGATGGTCACGCCATAGTCCCGATGGCTCGTTTCCTATGAGACGTGCTGCGCTAAAGTGCGATGGTCTGACACGCCAAAGTCCGATGGTGTGGAGAAACAATCAACGTTTATGACGTCACAATTAATTCATCCTCACATACAATTTTATTGATTTTGCTTATTGCTTGCACATTCCAGAGATATTAGTATCAGTCATCGCACACCACTCGACTGATTAGGGTTAACTTAGTCCTTGCGCACTATTGGACTGATTATGGGATAGCTTCACACCAACCCGAGAGATTTAGGGTTAGTCCTTGCACACTAGTCGAGTGATTAGGGTTAGTCTCGCACCCACCCAAGATATCTAGGTTTTAGCTAAGCGATTAGGGTTAGTTTCGCACCTATCCAAGGGATTAGGGTTAGTTTTCACATAGTGATGTTTATTTTTACTTATTTAAGACATTGTCATGGCACGGCATTGCAGTGTGGCGCAGTAGTACTATGACGTCATAAACGTTAATTGTTTTATCCACACCATCAGACTTTGGCATGTCAAAACATCAGGGTTTGGCGCAGACCCATCGAACTTTGGAGTCCTACATATATATATATATATATATATATATATATATATATATATATATATATATATATATGGAAGTAAATAGTTGACACAAAGATTGCTTATGACTTAAGGTCAAGATCTAGTAAACGAGCTAAGTCTGTCTTTAGGTGCTAGATCCATTATGACGTCATAATTGATTTAATCTTATTTTTCCCATATTTTACGGCTATAACAGAATTAAGTAGATAATGCCACATTTTCAGGGAATTCAATTTGAAATCATTTCAAAAGGAACCCCGATACCTATATTCAATTTAATATCATTTTAAAGAAGAGGTCAAGAAGATATGAAAAATTGTTTACTGAGAGACTGTAGGCAATATTGATACATTTTGCTTGTCTGAGATGGAGAAAACTCCCATTTTTATACCTGATTTTCTTTATTAGGTCACCTGAGTCACTCAGGTGACCTATTGCTATCTGTTTTCGTCCGTCGTCGTCCGTCGTCAGTCGTCCGTCGGTCGTAAACTTTTGAACATTTTCAGCTTTTTCTCTTGAACCACTGAACCAATTTCAACCAATTTTGGCATATAGCATCAATGGGTGAAGGGGTACAAAAATTGTGAATTTCATGGTCCCTGCCCCCCTGGGGCCTGAGGGGTGGGGCTAAAACCATCAAAATTAGTGCTATCTTTAAAAATCTTCTTCTTTACTCCTGGACATCAAGCAGTCAAACTGTTTGCATGATTGTAATAAGCATTGAGCCCTCTACCAAAATTGTGAAATTCATGGCCCCAGGGTCAGGGGTTCTGGTGCTAGGGCGGGGCTAGATAGATCATATAGTGAAAGTGCATTATTTCTTTGAAAATCTTCTTCTCTACTCCTGGGTATTATTGAAACAAATTAAATACATAGTTATGATAAGCAAGGGTGACTCTACCAAAATTGTGAAATTCATAGCCCCAGGGTCAGGGGTTCTGGGCTAGGGTGGGGCTATATAGATCATATAGTGAAAGTGCATTATTTCTTTGAAAATCTTCTTCTCTACTCCTGGGTATTATTTAAACAAATGAAATACATAGTTATGATAAGCAAGGATGCCTCTTCCAAAATTGTGAAATTCATGGCCCAGGGATCAGGGGTTCTGGTGTTAGGGTGGGGCTATATAGATCCTATAGTGAAGGTGAATTATTTCTTTGAAAATCTTCTTCTCTGCCCCTGGGTATTATTTAAACAAATTAAATACATAGTTATGATAAGCAAGAGTGACTCTACCAAAATTGTGAAATTCATAGCCCCAGGGTCAGGGGTTCTGGTGCTAGGGCGGGGCTATATAGATCATATATGAAAGTGCATTATTTCTTTGGAAATATTCTTTTCTGCTCCTGGGTATTATTTAAACAAATTAAATACATAGTTATGATAAGCAAGAGTGACTCTACCAGAATTGTGAAATTCTTGCCCCAGGGTCAGGGGTTCTGGTGCTAGGGTGGAGCTATATAGATCATATAGTGAAAGTGCATTATTTCTTTGAAAATCTTCTTCTCTACTCCTGGGTATTATTTAAACAAATGAAATACATAGTTATGATAAGCAAGGATGCCTCTTCCAAAATTGTGAAATTCATGGCCCAGTAATCAGGGGTTCTGGTGTTAGGATGGGGCTATATAGATCCTATAGTGAAGGTGAATTATTTCTTTGAAAATCTTCTTCTCTGCCCCTGGGTATTATTTAAACAAATTAAATACATAGTTATGATAAGCAAGAGTGACTCTACCAAAATTGTGAAACTCATAGCCCCAGGGTCAAGGGTTCTGGTGAAAAAAAGGGGGGGGGGGCTCTGTTGATTATATAGTGAAAAAGCAAAATTTCTTTGAAAATATTCTTTTCTGTTCCTGGTTAAAAAGCATAGAAGCTAAGTGTATAGTTATGATGAGCAAGAGTGCTTCTTCCAGAGTAGGGAATTGCATGACCCCTGGGTCAGATGTGCTGGTGTAAGGGTGGGGCTCTTGATAATATAGTGAAAATGCATTAATTCTATTAAATAGTCCTGTCTACTCTTAGTGTTAAGCAGATAAACAAAGTGATTACTTATGATGAGCAAACTTCTGGTCCCAGGGTGAGAGGATCTGGTGTTTCTTGCTGGGGAGGGGGGGGGGGGGGGCTCTATTGATAATATAGTGAATCTGTAATAAAAATGCATTATTTCTTTTAAAATCTTCTCTGCACCTGGGCATATCAGAGGCAAAAAGAGTAAAAGTTTTAATAAGGAAGAGTATTTTCACCAGATTTTTGAACACCTGGACCATTTGGTCAAGTGTTCTGGTCCTGGCCGGGGCTCTATTAATTTGTATTCTACTGAGAGGAGTTATTCCCCTTTGCCATTTACTTTTGATAATTAATCACTGTAAGTAATGTACTTGAAAGGTTAATGGAATAAGAGAATTATGCAAGATTGTTTATTGTATAATACATAAGGACTTTCATGGTTTTAATGATCAGATATACTTGTAAGTAATAGATAAATAAAAATGAGACAAAAATAACTTGTCTTTTTAAATGTTCATCAAAGACCAAGAGAAGCCAATGTAAGAAATTTTAACGAGGAATTAAAATAGTACAGAAGCACTGATAGTTTGCTATTTAATATACTGTATGGTGATAGTGATAAATGGGGAACAGATTAGAATCTAATTTATGAATTGTTAATGAATACTAGACTATTTTGTTGATCCTGATCACCCTATTTTTCTTGCTTTTGGGCAACAAAGCTTCACCTTTCAGTTCATTTTATACTCTATGGATCCTCTAAATTGTTGTATTATACTCAGGTGACCGTTAAGGCCCTTGGGCCTCTTGTTTTTCATTGAAAAGGGCAGTTTAAAATATGTTTTTACGTTGAGTTTATCTAAAAATTATTCCCCGATACACCTCAATTTATTTAACTATAATTGTAATAGATTAAAGGAATTTGTTTCTCAAATTTGAGAAATCTGTAGGCACTCTTCATTTACTAGATCTTGACCTTAAGAGTGTGTCATGACCTGACCCAAGGTCATTTGACAAGTTCACGGCCACTGCCTGAAAACCTGTTAAATTTGTATTGGGCTCCATCTTCTTTATCATTAAAACACTTGCTCACAGTACCTTTAGTTGAAGCATTCTTTTTTGTATCTAATTATTCTTTGTAAGATAATAAGTAGATCATTAAGTTCTGAATCTCTATTTTAGATCAAGGAAATCATACTTCAAGGTATTGAGGTTCCTGAGGGACAAAATGACTTGCGACGTCAGCAGCTTAGAGAACTGGCCCTACTAAATGGAACTCTAAGAGAAAATGATGGCCTTGCGTAAGTAGATAATGCTTAGTGAAAAAGCTATTAAATTACAACAAAATTATCATGTCAGCCCATTTTTTATGTCCCTGTAATCAAAGATTTGAGGGCATATATTTTTTAGTCAGTTTGTTGGCAAAAACTTAAACATTATTTTATTTTTGTGCCATTTCTACCCATTTTTCAAACTCTTGGACTTCCATATATTTAAAACTTGCTTGTCAGCAGAAGCATTCATGTCACCCCAACACATCTAGTTCTTTTCATACACGTATCTGATAATTGCTTTAACTGTAAATTTTGAATAACAAAGCTTTGCTTATTTTTCTTTGTCAGGAAACTTAAACAGTTACAACAGGCCCAGAACATCATTACCAATACCATCATATGTTCATTGTGTGGGGGCACTGGTCATATAGCACAGGACTGTAAATCTAAAAAGTAAGTCAAATTTCAAAATGTGTTTAACTGATATTACCAATAAGGGTTCAAGCTTTAAATTTTAACTTACATGTACTTTTACATTGTATTAGACCTGGTGACTCTTTCAAGAATTATCCACAGAATGGAAACCCTGTGTCTCAAGCTGACAAAGCTAAAATGGACAGCGAGGTAATAACAAACATATTGATTTTACTAAACATTAATCAGTCTGAAGTTTTGTATATCAAAAATTTTAGAGAAACATTGCTTTTAAAATTAATTTGTATGGTGTACATTTTCTGACTGATCTTTTTTTTTGCAGTACATGTCCCTGATGGCCGAGTTAGGAGAGGGTCCACCTCCACCCAAGACTCAGACACAGCCCACCCCAGCAGTACAGTCCTTTAGACCCTCCTTTGGTCAGCCTCCTCCAAACCCTATGGTAATTGCTTGTAAAACTTTTGTTCTTTTATAGAAATAATTGAATATTTATGGTCATGATATGTCCGACAGAATTAATTTACAAACAATACATTAAACATCTGTTTCATGCCCTGTAAAAAATTGCTATCTTAGCAAAGCAGTTGAATTGTCTGAAGTTTTCTGTAAGAAAGATTTGGATCAAGAGCTCTTACCCAGATTAATGTAGGATGCCATGAATACCTTTCATGGATTATGTTTTTTTCAGTTGTAATTCCTTACTTCTTTATACTGATGTTCTTCATATTAAATTGACATGCTCCTCATGCAAATTAATCAATTGGGTTGCACTGTTATCTTTGCTGTGAACATATACTACATATGAAAAATTAAGTTTTCAGTTTTCCAGTTGCTCAAAATATCATTAAGTAATGTTGTGTCATATATATAGGCAATAAATCCACCATGGCAGCAGCAAGCTCGTCCACCACCACCACAAGTGGTGTCCAACATCAGTCTCAGCACACCAGTACAGACATCCCAGACTACCACCCAGCCACCTGTCAGTTACAATATACAGGGCGTACAGCCCCCAATGGGAATTTCAACAAGTATTCAGCAACCAGTGGGCATGCAGCAGTCTGGACACATGCATATGCCGCCTGGACAGATGCCAGCCCCTGTGGCACCACCCTCACATTACACATCAGCAGCAGGTCCAGTGCCACCTCCCTGGCAGTCAAACACAATGGTATCACAAAACAGTGCTATGTCTTCTGCAGGAGGGGGTAAGTACTGTCACTTAGTTTAATTTTTTAAAAATTGAGACCCCCTATAAATAAATTTGACCTCTCTTGAATTCTGGCAGTTAAAGTTAAACAAAGGCACAAAATGTTAAGGCATTTGTGCAAAATGTGATTTAACAAAGTGTAGATGGAATCATGGACAAACATGCATGTAAAATAGATATTTAATTAATAAGACTCGTCATTTTGATATACAGTACATATGTGTAATGTTTGAGGACAGAGGAGACCTGATTTCCCAGTAACATGTTGTAAACATTCAAGAGGTTGATGTCATTGTTGGGGGTTCTCATTGCTACATTTGTAACTTTATAAAAAAAAAATGCATTAAAATATGAAAGTAAAGGATTTCTTCTTAAACGTTTTGAAAACCATCACATGTAGATTCAAATAAGGAAGGTTAGATTTAGCATTTTCAAGTTTGCAATCAACTCCCACCCCTCCATTGAATATTATTTTAGGTGGTAATTTTTGTATTTCATTACAGGTGTCCCACCTCCATCTTTGCTGTCTGCGCCACCTCCACCACCACCAAGCAGCCAGCCTCCAGGATCATGGATGCAGCAAGGTAAAGTTATGCTGGTGTACTTCAAAGGAAATATACTAATAATAAGTTGGATAGGCATTTTCTTTACACAAAATCAGAAATTACTGTTGTCATCTTTTTTCAGCCCAAGGTGTACCACCGCCACCCCCCATAACATCAGCCTCACCATGGCAACCGGCACCACCTCCTCCAAACAGTATGCCCCCTTGGCAAGCTCCACCACCAATGCCAAGTGGTGTTGCACCTCCTCCACCACCCCCACCTGGCCAACAAGGGTACAATCCCATGGCAGTACCCCCACCTCCGCCTCCAGGAGGAATTGATATGAATACCCTAGGCATGCTTGGGGCTCCACCACCTCCTCCTCCAAGCTGAGGATGATCTCTTCATAAAAATGGAAGTGCTGAAGAGTAATATGTTATGCAAGACCTTAAAGTTAAAGAAAAATGGAAAAACAGCCTTGTCATTGACCTGATTTTTTTTTTCTCATGTAGATTATTTTTAATTTTACTGGTTTAGTCTGAAGAAAATCTTATATTAGGTATACCATTTTGTCTTTGAGTTTATCATGTGTACATATGGTTGGTTCATTAAATTATTATCTGTATATCTGATAATTTTTACAAATCAATTGTCTAGCTATAGAAATGATTCTAAATTTATGAGGATGGGTTCCTACAGTAAAAATGGATTTAATTATTATGTCACCATATTGATTTACATATATCTGATGCACATGTGGAATAAATATGTTTTTTTAAAAGACAAAATGTTTATGTGTCTGCTTTTTTCTAAATAGAATTTTTTTTATTAAGACATAGATTTTTTTCATTGTTAGAGAAATTACTTAAAATATTGGCCTTTTTAGCTCACCTGAGCTGAAAGCTCAAGTGAGTTTTTCTGATCATATGTTGTCCATCATCCGTCAGTCTGTAAACTTTTCAAATTTTCACCTTCCCAAGAACCACTGGGCCAATTTTGACCAAAGTTGGTACAAAGCATCCTTGGGTGAAGGGGAGTTTAAATTGTTAGAATGAAGGGCCAAGTCCCTTACAAGGGTAGATAATCAAGAAAAGACATATATAGGGTGGGGACATTAAAAAATCTTTTCAAGAACTACTGGGCCAGAAAAGCTGAAACTATGTGGAAGCTTCCTGGGTTAACATACATTCTAAATTGTTCAAATCATGACCAAGGGGGTAGGGTGAGGCCACAATAGGGAATCAAAGTTTTACATTGGAATCTTTAAAAATCTTCCTTCTCAAGAACCACTGGACCAGAAAAGCTAAAACTTATGTGGAAACTTCCTGAGGTAGTGTAGATTCTAAATTGTTCAAATCATGACCCAGGGGGTAGGGTGAGGCCACAATAGGGAATCAAAGTTTTACATTGGAATCTTTAAAAATCTTCCTTCTCAAGAACCACTGGACCAGAAAAGCTAAAACTTATGTGGAAACTTCCTGAGGTAGTGTAGATTCTAAATTGTTCAAATCGTGACCCCAGTGGAAGGGTGGGGCCACAATAAGTATTATTGGGGGGGGGGGGATCTGGTGAAGAACAGCAGGGCCAAAGTTACTCAGGTGAGTGTTGTGGCCCATGGGCCTCTTGTTTGGAAGAAATTTTCAGAAAGAGGAATATCATTGATAAAATTTATGACGTAATGACAAAAATGCAAGAAAGTTATGGAAAATAACTAAAAATTTGTAGTTATAATGGGTCCAATTGAAATTTACGGAATTAGTTTTTAACACTGAATTTACGGCCCTTTGGTAAACATGCAAGATACCGGTGTGTATTGTCAAAGGTAATCCCCATTATTGCTAGTGCTCTAAAACACTAACAACTATAGTCTTTTTGCTGGATTGCATGTTTTGAATTATGATAGAGCATACTTGTATGTTGTTCTTATATTGTCCATCTGAAAACAAGTAAATTCAAAGAATTGTGGTCCCCCACTTTTGGTATAGTGGTTTGGATGCAATTATTTATTGCTTATTGTAACTGTCTTGTTTGTGTATCCAAGTCAGAAATGATATTTCTGAAAGTTGTTGTTATAGAAAATGTACACGTAAAATATGAGAGCCCTATCTCCTCTTATTCAATTGTCATTACCATTGAAAAAGACTGTAGGTTAAACTCTTAAGGTCAAGGTCATGAGGTCAAAAACCACAGTTTATTCAGAAAGGTCTTGCAACAGGTAATGCACATGCCAAATATAAATACTCAATCTTCTCTCATTCAAAAGTTATCAGCAATGTTAAATATTTTGAAAATTAGGTCAAACTTCAAGGTCTTGGGGTTATAAAATCATATACAGTACATCTGGAAACATCACAGGTAATGTTTATGTGAAATATGAAAGCCCTATCTTTTCTCATTGAAATGTTACCAAAGTAAAAGTAATGTTAAGGTGGTATGGGATACCAAACGAAACTTCTCCTACATATTTATGTACCCAAATTAGAAGGATTTGAAATACCCCCACCTTTCAGTATATTAAAGTGTAATTTTAATAATTTTTTTATTATTTTAATGAGAAATACAAAAACGATTTTTTTTCTTGCATAATTCTTTTTTCATAAGCTTAATATTATAGGCAGGCGTTTGCTAATATAAAATGTTTATAAAAACAAAAATGACAAGAAATATGTCTTAGTATTTTTTTAATTTTCAACAAAAAATAAGCGTAAAAAACTGGGAAAACTTTATTTCTTGAAAACAGACGGATAACATTTCATGAAAGTCTACAATAAGAATGTATCTTAATATGTTAGCAAAGTGAAATAAAGAAATTGAAAATATATATATAAATGGAAAATATAAAATGCATTTAAAATTTTTTGAATTAAAAGATCCGAGCGGAAGAGTTATCCTTCTTTATTTTCCAAGGGTTGAAAAAACCTGGGTGCTATTCTAGAAATGATGAGCATTTTTTCCCAACCATAAAAAAATCGCACTTTGTAGTTTTCAACTTTGAGCGGTTTTGAAAACAATGCATGGACAATCGCTTTCCAGGAGGTGTCTTGTTCAGAGCAATTGCATTCATCTGAACGTTTTGGGACTATATACAATAGCTAGCTGATTTGTGACCAAACAGTTACTTCTTGAATTAAATAACAGAAAAGTCCAGCTCTGGTTAACGTGATAATTGATTGGTGATAATTCAGCACAATGTGAAGTAATCGCACTTATCCATGCCTCACCGCACACAAGGTGCTGTACAGCTACTCAAACAATTGAAATACAGCTTTTGCTTAAAAGTGTTCAAAAGCAGCAATGTTGAAACTACCTTTTACAGGGGTTTGCTTTTTTAAATGTCCGTTGTACAATTATAAGTAAATTTATATACTTGCGATTTTTTTGTCTGTTTTTACTTAAAATGCCGACTTGTGAGAACTTGCATTGAAATAGGCTTCAGATTGTTCTTTTCAGCGGTGTATCTACAAATTTTGACCCGATAATAAGCACTCATGCAAATCAAAACAATACTTCAAACGGAAATACGTCATAACGTGGAGGTATCCCATACTACCTTAATATATTTGAAAAGAGGGTCAAACTTCAGGCCATGGGCTCAAAAGTCGCAGTATATTTGGAAAGGTCACAGGTAATGTACATGTTCTGCTTTACAGACATCAAACTTGGTAAACTGGTACCCCCTGAGGAATAGATGACCCCTATTGATTTTGAGGTAAAAGGTAAAACTAATCTAGACAATAGACATAAGAAGATATTGATCAATCAATATCTTGAGAACACTTTGCTTGACAGACATCAAACTTGGAAGACAGATTTCCTTTAAGGAGTAGATGACCCTATTGATTATAAGTCACAATGTCAAGACTTCAAAATTGGTACACTGTTTCTCCTTGAAGAGTAGATGACCACTGTAGATTTTGAGGTCACAAGGTCAAGGGTCAAATTACTCAAGACATAGGAAGATATTGACCACTCAATATCTAGAGAACCCTATGCTTGACAGACATCAAATATGGTACAATGGTTTCCTTTAAGGAGTAGATAACCCCTATTGATTTTGAGGTCACAAGTTCAAGGGTCAAACAACATACACACTAGACATGGAAAGAGATTGTCAGCTCTGTATCTTGAGAACCATTTTGTTTTCACATGGAAATGGAATGGACACAAAAACTTGTGGCTTGCGATGATGGTTGGAACCATTCATTGCAGGAAAATTACATAACCTTTAATACGTATGAAATTGTGCCATATTCCATTTACCCCCAACTATAAATTGTTGTTAACAGACACATGTATATTCAAAGAAAATTTCATCACGGTTCAACTTTCATGCCCCCGCAATCGAAGATTCAGGGCATATAGTTTTTTGCCCTGTCTGTCTGCAAAAATTTAACCTTCACCATAACTTTTGATTGGTTGGAGCTATGGGTTTCATATTTCACATGTGTATTCCTTGTGATAAGACCTTTCTTTAGGTATCAACATATTTGACCTTGAAGATTGACCCACCTTTGGCAAAATTTTACCACACTTTAGCCTTGGACATAATTTTTAAATGGTTGGAGCTAGGGCTTTCATACTTCACATGTGCTTTCCTTGTGACCTTTCCTTGGGTACAAATATTTTGACCTCTTGACCTTCAAGTTTGATCCACTTTAAAAAAATTTTAACCTTGGTCATAACTTTTGAATGGTTAGTACTAGGGCTTTCACATTTTGCAGGTGTATTCATTGTGATAAGACCTTTCATACAGTACCAACAATTTTGACCTTGACCTACTTTTGAAAAAAACCTTTATCTTGGCAATAACTTTTGAACAGACGCTTCTTGGGCTTTCCTATTTCACTTGTGTCTCCATTGTGACAAGACCTTTCATTGGGTACCAACAATGTTGATTCGTCTACCTTGACCTTGGAAGTTTGACCTGCATTTGATAAACTTTAACATTCGCCATGAGCTGCCATACAGGGGCATTAGTGTTTTACAAACAGTTACATATATGCATATTGTTACTTTCTTCTTTTTACTCTCTTTGCCTAAATAAAGGATTTTTCTCTACTAATTTGCCCATGTTTTATCCCAAAAAAAAAAAAAGCAAAGTCAGTATATTCATTGATTTTTATACTTTATTCCTTCATGAATAATTGATTATTAAATCTTCAAAAATCCAGCAACTGAAAAAGAACATATATACATGTATACTTTTTAAAAAATCAACAGATATTAAAAGTTCACCTCTATGAATGATACCTATAAGTAAGGAAAAGTTAAAAATCAAATGTTCAGATTCATTATTATCATGTTTATTTATCATTAGAGGCCTTTCACTTAATATTTATAAATAATGACAAAGCATCCTTTGCAAGGCAGTTAGTATGTTCCCCTGATATACAAGTGTCATCCATACAAGTTTTCTTAAATATCCTTGCAAATGCAACTTCTAACAAGAGGCCCATGGGCCACATCGCTCACCTGAGCACATTGGCTAGGCAAAAGCACAAATCAGTTCAGTATTGAAAAGGTTACCGGGGGGGGGGGGGGGGGGGGGGGGGGGGGGGGGTAAATTTTGAAAAAATTTTCTCATATAATCCTTTGTAAAAATTTATTCCCCCATGATGGCTCCTCCCTATTCCAGAGGTCAATATTTGAACAAACTTGAATCTACAATACCTGAGGATGCTTCCATATCAATATGACTAAACATAGCTTTTCTGTTCTTGAGAAGAAATATTTGTTCTGCATGTTCTTATGTAAAACTTTCGATCCCCCATTGGGCCCCACCCTACCCCAGGGGTCATCATTTGAACGAATTATAATTCACACTATCTGAGGATGCTTCCATATCAAAATGACTAAACATGATTTTCAGTTCTTGAGAAGAGAATATTTTCCTATATGTTCCTATGTAAAATTTTCGACCCCCCATAGTGGCCCATCCCTATCCCCGGGGGTCATCATTTTAACAAACTTGAATCTACACTACCTGAGGATGCTTCCATATCAAAATGACTAATCATGGCTTTGCAGTTCATCATCAGAAGATATTTTCCTATATATTTCTATTTAAGACTTTGATCCTCCATTGTGGCCCCCACCCTACCCCAGGGGGTCATGATTTGAACAATCTTGAATTTACACTACCTGAGGATACTTCCACATAAATATGATCAATCAGGGCTTTGCTGTTCCTGAGAAGATGATTTTTAAAATTTTTCCTATATATTTCTATGTAAAACTTTGATCCTCCATTGTGGCCCCACCCTACCCCAAGGGGTCATGATTTGAACAAATTTGAATTTTTACTACCTGAGGATGCTTCCATATAAATATGACCAATCAGGGCTTTGCTGTTCTTGAGAAGAAGATTTTTTAAAGATTTTTCCTATATATTTCTATGCAAAACTTTGATCCTCCATTGTGGCCCCGCCCTACCCTCGGGGGTCATGATTTGAACAAATTTGAATTTTTACTACCTGAGGATGCTTCCATATAAATATGACCAATCAGGGCTTTGCTGTTCTTGAGAAAATGATTTTTTAAAGATTTTTCCTATATATTTCTATGTAAAACTTTGATCCTCCATTGTGGCCCCGCCCTACACGGGGGGTCATGATTTGAACAAACTTGAATCTACACTACCTGAGGATGCTTTCATATAAATATGACCAATTGGGGCTTTGCTGTTCTTGAGAAGAAGATTTTTAAAAGATTTTTCCTATATATTTCTATGTAAAACTTTGATCCTCCATTGTGGCCCCGCCCTACCCCCGGGGGTCATGATTTGAACAAACTTGAATCTACACTACCTGAGCATGCTTCCATATAAATATGACTCATCATGGCTTTGCTGTTCTTGAGAAGAAGATTTTTAAAGGTTTTTCCTATATATTTCTATGTAAAACTTTGATCCTCCACTGTGGCCCCACCCTACCCCCGGGGGTCATGATTTGAACAAACTTGAATCTACACTACCTGAGGATGCTTCCACATGAGTTTCATCTTCCCTGGCTCTGTGGTTCTTGACAAGAAGATTTTTAAAAGATGCTATTAATTTTTCACTAATTCTTTATTATCTCCCCTTGAAAGAGGGCATGGCCCTTCATTTGAACAAACCTGAATCCCCTTCACCCAAGGATACTTTGTGGCAAGTTTGGTTGAAATTGGCCCAGTGGTTCTTGAGAAGAAGATGAAAATGTGAAAAGTTTACGACAACAACGACGCCGACGACGACGACAGACAACGGACAAATTTTGATCAGAAAAGCTCACTTGAGCCTTTGGCTCAGGTGAGCTAAAAACTTTAAATTGGTCTTTCATCAACAAAATACTGGTCATAAGCAGCATCCAAAGCAAGTCTTACAAGTATGACTATGCATAACAAATGCAAGTTTGGTCCTTGTAGGGTTTCTAGTAGGGATGTCAAAATATTTATTTTCTTTAGTTGAATATTCGATTGCATTATTCGAACAATAGTTGAATATATTCGAAACTTTTTTTCGGAAACTAAAATTTTATTTCAAACTTCATTGGTACATGACATTTTAAACCCCAAATCCCCTTTTCTTAAATTTATTAAAAAGTAACATCAAATGTTACACACAGATGTTCAAATAGACTTAAAATATGGATAGCGTGTTAATATTTACTAAATATAGACCCCTAAATTCTCCAAAATGTATGATTTCCCCGTCAATCATGTTCATAAATCGGTCTGTAAAGTCAGTTTTTTAGGAAGCATAAAAAAATGACAGTATGAAATACATACATTTTTAAAGCTTATTGAAATGATTGGGGGAGGGGGGGTACACACGGTGTCTGTGATAATTTTAAATCTTTGAATAAACTTTTTGTCTTTAAAATATGTAAAAGAATATTAATTTTATAATTATCGTAGTGTCCAAACATGTCACGGCTATCAAGGGTACATGATATGAAATCAAGTCCAATTAATAATTTTACAAAGAAAGCGCAGTATAGCGAGATAATTTTATTACAAAAACAACACATTAATTGACAAATAATTCTCGCGGAAATGAAACATTTCTAATTACTGTACTTTCTACATGTAAAGTCCACAGATTTTAATGAGGAAAATTATCTTATTGACTGTGTTTGAGGAAAGACAGTTTCTCAATTTAAGGATGAGAATTCCATCTCTTTATCACTCTTTTATTGAATTTATTTATTCCAATGTCGTTTTGTTATTTGATCGTCGGTCCATTCGACTGATAGTCGAATAGTCGACTATTCGTTGACATCCCTAGTTTCTAGTTACTTGGGAATTGACCTGCCCCAAAACTGACCTGGTCACTCCTCCTGAAAATAAAGATTACGGAAGATGCAGCATTGTATGCAAGTCAGTATCTCTATATTACGCTAAATACATTTCTTTGCAAGATTGGTTCTTGTAGAGTTTATACTTACTTGGGAATGGACCTGTTTTAAAACTCCTCTGGAAAATATGGGTTAGATGCAACATTGTAAGCAACTCAGCTGTATCAACATCCATGTAAATTTGGTCAAGTAGGGTTCATAGTTACTTTGAAATGGTTCTGCTCCAAAAGCTTTAACCTTTCCACTTATCCAGAAAATATTAGTCAGACAAAGCATCTGATGCATAAGCATAACTGCATAAAGTGTCCCTAAATTCATTATCCATGCAAGTTTGGCTTATAAAATGTTGGGATATGGCTTTAACCTGCAATGTCAATGCCAACAGGGGATTTCCAAATACAGAATAACAGTAACCTCATCCTAATTTTGATAAGGTGAGCTTATATATGTCTTTAAAGTGTACTAGAGCTGAAAGACCAAACCACTTACCAACTGAGGCAATATCTTTTCAAAATAATCTAAGGGTATCTGGTCCTGATGATCTTTCTAAATAAAAAGTAGATGAGATTAAAATGAATATTTTTTTCTTCAGGAGAGGTAACATGAATATGCTATCATTTTCACAGATCATTTCTACCATAAACAAGACGCTTAGGGGCTACATCGCTCACCTGAGCACTTTTGGCTAGGAAAAAGCAGAAATCAGTTCAGTAGTGAAAAGTTTAAATATACATGTAATAGTGGTTTGGAGAGGGGGAGGGTATAATTTGAACAAACTTGAATCTACACTTCCTAAGAATGCTTTTTGAATTGATATGACACATAACGGCTTAACTGTTCTTAAAATGAAAATTTTTATTGAAATATCCTTAAAATTCCTTTTTATAACTATGATTCCCTGTTATGGCCCCTCTATTCTCCTGGAGGGTCATGATTTGAACAAATTTAAATCTACATTACCTGAGGATGCTTTTATATTATAATGATCAATCATGGCCTTTCTGTTTTTGTGAAGAATTTCAAAGATTTTTCCTATGTATTCCTTTGTAAAACTTTTTTCCTATGTATTCCTTTGTAAAACTTTGATAGCCCATTGTGGCCCTACCCTACCCCTGAGGGTCATGATTTGAACAAATTTGAATCTACACTACCTCACAATGATTCCACATAAGTTTCATATTTTCAAGCACAGTGGTTCTTGATAAGATTTTTAAATGATGTCAATAATTTTTCACAAAATCATAATTATCTCCCCTTGGAAGAAGGCATGGCCTTTCATTTGAACAAACTTGAATGCCCTTTACCCAAGGATACTTTGTGGCAGTTTGGTTGAAAATGGCCCAGTGGTTCTTGAGAAGAAGATGAAAATGTGAAAAGTTTACAACGACAACAGGCATTGGACAAATTTTGATTAGAAAAGCTCACTTGAGCCTTTGGCTCAGGTGAGATAAAAAGAGCTACAATGACAAAGCAATCATGACAGACACTTGTCATGGGCAGCCAGCAGGAGAGAGAAAGGGAGGACTGAAATAAAAAATAGTCTCAATCTAATCCCCCTATCTTTTTTTTCAGGAAGGGACTTAAACTTCCATGTTGATTTCAGGATTTTCTGGGGACAAAGCCACCAACCATTAACACTATAGGATATAAGACAATAAAGAAGTTCATATACCTTTGCCTCATTAATTGTTCTCAGGACAGCTTCTGTAAATGATATTTGTACAGTGAATTAGAGAAACATTTTTATATTGTTATTTTATACAATGTACTAAGAAATTTTGGCCATGAGTCATTCTTGCCAAGTATCAACATATCAGAATATTTAGCCTGTCATTTCAAATTAACCAAGTTACATTCCTATTTCAGCCTTATGGTATCACCGTCTGAAACCCACAGTTGGTCTCACTTCTCTTACCTCAGGTATGAAATGCAAGAAACCATGTAGCTGCAGATCTGTAGCTCGCTGGTCTGAAAAATTTGGGAAGAACGACCAGAGAGCTTCAGTGCCAACCATTGAAAAAAGTGTATATTTATTGTGCATAAAAAAGTGTGCTGTTTCTCGATTTAATTCTCCATGCATCTCAAAATATTACTAACTGTGTGTTCCTACTATATTCTTTTACTTCTTCCAATACAAAACTGTATGACAAGTCATGTACGAAGTGCACTGGACTGAATTATTGTCTTGCCATCCAAAATGGCAGTACAAATAGGCGAAATTTTCGATGATCTTGATTTCAAGCCCAGGAGGGCTATTATTGACGGTTTTGGAGAATGTTTTGTTCTGGAAATAGTTAAAGAATAGTTTAGAAACACACGGTTAGTAATATCTTGAGATGGCGGCGTAAATATTCGGAGAAATAAAATTGAGAAACAGCTCACTTTTTTGTGCGCAATACATTTTTTTCGATGGGTGGCACTGTAGCTCTCTAGTCATCCTTCCCGATTTTTTTCAGACCAGCGAGCTACAGATCTGCAGCTAGAAACCATGGATTTCTGATTATGGTTTGGTATGTACCGGTACATCAAAAAAAAAATACACTTCCAAGTCTAGTTTAAATACACCAATGATTATACAAACAAGGCTAAAATTGAATTGAAAGCTAAAAAATACTGTATACAGTAGTACTCTTGAAGAGAGTCCATAAGAATATTGTTCCATCTAATCCAAACAATCCTTTGTTAATGTTAACATCATTTTATTCAGTTTTCAGTTTATGAAATACCATATGGCGGGAATTTTTAGCGGGGTGCTAACTTTGACTTATTTTAGCTGTTTTGAAGTAGCCCGCTAAAGTTATAATCACTAAATTTACATCCTTGCATATAAGGACTGAACATAAGAAAAATAACTTTGATCATTCCATTGTTAAACAAGATATCTTTCATCTGGTGTTGGTTTTTACTCAAACTCTTGCTGAAATCGGTATTCAAACATATCTTAAAAGTACTGAAAACGCATCTAGATCATGAATTCCCTCTCTTTTACAATGTCATGGAACTGTATGTCCGCCAAAGTTATTGGCATATGTTTGAGCAAGCAAAATGCCAAATTTTACATCCGCTAAAGAAACCCACTATATGGTATTCTTATTAAACAATTGCCATCATAACCATTGATAATCATACATCATATCACCCCCAACTTTTCCATTTATGGAGCATTCTATCATTTTAATAAGATTTTTTTATTGATATCATCACTGTCCTTTTTTTAACCACACGCTAAACATTTTTACTTACCAGATACAAATATGTTTAGGAGTTCTGTTACTAAATTCAGTGCCTCTGCATTTACTGAAAAGAAAATTAGTAGAGATGCATAAGTCTATTAAATACACAGGACAAGCACAATCTCTTGATATAGCTATATAGCTTGAAATAGCTTTATAGCTTAATCATGTTAATCAAGCTATTCAAAATAGGGTAACTGTAGACTACCTTGTGTGCTTGAGGCGTGGATAAGTATGATTGCTTCTCATTGTGCTGAATTATTACCAATCAATTATCTTGTTGACCATAACTGACCTCCTTTATAATTTCATTCAAGAAGAGACTTATGATCACATATTAATTGCTTCATATAGTCCCAAAACTTTTAGAACTTTGAGTACAAAGTCTCTCAAGGAGTCGCAATTTGATGAGTGATTTTTACATGCATTGTTTTCAGAAGAGTTCAAGGTTGAATATTATCACTGCAACAAAGTTTGACTTTTTGTACATGCTAAAAAAATAATAATTATATTTAGGAAAAAAGTAGGGCTGGGACGATACAACTTTTTCTATATCGATACGTATCACGATATTTGAGCCATGATACGATATGTATCACGATATGTTGAATAGGTTATAAAATGTTTTATGTGCCCTTTTCGAAGATTCGGGGGTATATAGTTTTTGCCCTGTCCGTCCGTCTGTCTGTCTGTCTGATTGTCTGTTTGTCCACAAAAACTTTAACATTGCCCATAACTTTTGATTCGTTGGAGCTATGGCTTTCATATTTCACATGTGCATTCCTTGTGACAAGACCTTTCTTTGGGTACCACCATATTTGACATTTTGATCTTGGAGTTTGACCCTGTTTTGCAAAATTTTACCAAACTTTAACCTTGGACATAACTTTTGAACAATTGGTGCTAGGGCTTTTATACTTCACATGTGTACTCCTTGTGACAAGAATTTTCTTTGGATACCAACAAGTTTGACCCTTTGACCATGACCTTGGAGTTTGACCTACTTTTGAAAAACTTTAACATTGGCCATAACTTTTGAACGGTTGGTGCTAAGACTTTCATCCTTCACATATGTAATCCTTTTGACAAGACCTTTTTTGGATACCAACAACTTTGACCCTTTGACCTTGGAGATTGACCTACTTTTGAAAAACTTTGACCTTGACCATAACTATTGAATCGTTGGAACTAGGGCTTTCATACTTCACATATATTATCCTTGTGACAAGACCTTTCTTTGGATACCAACAATTTTGACCCTTTGACCTTGGCCTTAAAGTTTGACCTACATTTAAAAAACTTTAACCTTGGCCATAACTTGTGAACGGTTGGTGGTAGGGCTTTCATACTTCAAATATTTAATCCTTGTGACAAGTCCTTCCTTTGGATACCAACAACTTTGACCCTTTGACCTTGACCTTGGAGTTTGACCTACTTTTGGAAAACTTTAACCTTGGTTATATCTATTGAACCATTAGTGCTAGGGCTTTCATACTTCACATATGTAATCCTTGTGACAAGACCTTCCTTTGGATACCAACAATTGTAATCCATTGACCTTGACCTAGGAGTTTGACCTTCTTTTGAAAAACTTAAACCTTGGTCATAACTTTTGAACGATTGGTGCTTCAGCTTTCACATTTCACCAGTATATTTCTTGTGAGAAGGCATTTCCTTAGGCACCATTAATTTTGACCATTTGACCTTGACCTGGATGTTTGACTTACTTTTGAAAAAACCTTTTCCATATCTATTCAATGGTTGCTACTAGGGCTCTCATATTTCACAGGTATATTCCTCGACACAAGACCTTACTTTTGGTACCAACATATTTGATTTGCATTTGAGAAAGTTTAACCTTTGCTATAAATTGCCATACGGGGGCATCAGTGTTTCACAAACACATCTTGTTTTTGTACTGAAATGAACGAAACATTTGTTCACAAATAAGAAAAATTTATTCAAAGAAGTTGTGTATCATTCTGTTGTAAAACAAAATCATTTTACTTAGTGGTATTAATTATTATGTATTTCATATTTATATTTAGCATATTTATTTTATATATTAAACCCAAAATGTTAAGTAAACAAAGAAAAACATAAGTCAGAATTTTTTTGCGATATTTCTTCACATGTATCGATATGCGTATCTTCCTCACATTGAATCGATATTATCGATATCTCGTCCCAGTCCTAGAAAAAAGTGTGTTAAAATAGCTAAATCAAGCTATATATATAGCTAAATCATGAGATTGTGCCGGTGTCATATAGCGAGACTTCTCCCCGGAAGTCTGACTATATGGCGAGACTTCCCCTGGGGAGAAGAATGACTATATAGTAAGTCTTCCCCCCTAAAAGACTATAGTGAGGTTTCCCCCTTCCATGTTCGGTTTGGATTTTATTTACATCAATGTTGTATATATATTTGCATTAGGAACCATTTTATATAAATTATTTACAGTATTCTTTATTTACCTCTGGAAGGCCGACATTAATGAGATCAAAATCATGATGATAGAATCAGTTTCAGTACTAGAATCCTTCAAAATCTTACTGTCTTGTATAAATTAATTAAGCGCTAAAATACATGCTATATACAGATATGATTTATGTAAAAAATAAAACATTTTTAGGCCCGATCTTACATTTTTTTTTACAAAACGTATATATGCGACATATATCTTATACAGATTAGAAGTAAATACCCCTTAATATTTTAAAATTTCAGGAAATAATGAATTTTAAATAATAAATATGCAAAACTTACTAAAGTTAACTGAAAAAAAGAATAATTTAGGGTTACTCAAATATAACACTTTAGCTATGCATAATCGTCATTTTTAAACATCGCATGAACAGACTTCGTATATAGTTATTCCACATATATTCAGTAGTACTGTATAGCTAATTTGAACATACCATGCAAATTTAATTTTATTAACTAAATAAAAAAATTGAGCTGTTAGATTGCATGACCACGTGTCGTCTCCATAATTCTGATTTTCACATATGAAATATGGAGATAAAGAATAGTATTCAAGCTCAAACGTCCATTCAAACAATACAAATCAGGAGAAGAGCAAACACGGACTCTAAAACATCAGAGGTAGGATCAGGTGCCATTGAGGAGTAAGCATCCCATGCCGACCTGTCACACTTTTACACAACACATTGACATTGTTTTACAACAGTGATTCATTTTGAAAATGGTTATCATGGGTCCAAAGGACCCCTTTTAATGAGTCCCATGCCAAAATCAATGAGTCCAAATCCAAGGGTACCGTTTATTGCAGGTGTCATAACAGTATTTCACTTGAGGTTCATGTCAAATCATGGCTGACGCAAAATAATTCCTGAATCTTCCCTTCCGATTTGGGCATTTTAACACGAGACTGGAGCTGAATTTTTTTATGAGATGAAAAACAATATGTAAACTTCCTATATTGACTAGATTCATTAAAATTTAGGGCGTGCTGAATTTTCTATATACTGTATTTGAGTGGGGAGTGATTAGGTCCTGGACTTGATTCTCAAGCACCTGCTCGACTTCGACCGAAACAAACTTGCGTGCCTTGCTGGATGGCTATGTATTTTTTGGTACTAAAATCTTTATAAAGAATTGTTTTACAAGATCTGAAAAGGAAACTTCTCAAAAGTTTGTTTTCAATTAATACCACCTGCTCAAAGTTGCGCATTTTTGGTAAGAATATATAGCAAAATTTAATACTGTTGTGCAACCTATTAGATATTACAGAGGAAATTCTGGTGAAATATAAAAAGGGTATTTCACGAAAGTGCAATTTTTTTTAAAAAATATAAACAGGTCCAGTCCAAAGACAATTTCTACCTACGTAGCTATTAATAGCTACGTAAGTATTTAAACCTACCCAAAGTAGCTATTTTTACCTACTTTTTGTATTACTTGCATTTTGTGGCCAAAAGGCGCAACATGTTGAATACCGAATTTCTTGATACAGTCACACTTATTATGAACACGGCAAAATTTTAGCCAAAAAATGATTACTTCATAAACAATTTTTCCTAGTAATTAATGCAAAATTGTCAATTTATGATTTTTTGGCCCAAATTTTGTCGTATTCATCATCAGTGTGACTGTATCAAGAAATTTGCTACTCACCATGTTGCGCTGTTCGGCCGTTTGGTCACAAAATGCAAGTAATACAAAAAGTAGGTAAAAATAGCTACTTTGGGTAGGTTTAAATACCTAGGTAGCTATTAATAGCTACGTAGCCAGGTAGAAATAGTCTTTGGACTGGACCTGATAAATATTAAAATACCTTTTGTTCTGTCATCTTTGAAGAATTGCAGCAAAACATTTTGTACAGTTCTCTAAAAACAATAGAAGAAATACAATAATTATAAAATTCAACACAATGAACAAAGTTATGAAGCTGTCGCTAATATATAGATATCGTCTCACCTCTTTAAAGTTTGCGCCACCAGACATTGTTTACTACGGATGGTTGCAAAAATTCTAAATCTAAAGATAAAAGGATAAGATGTAAATTTCCGGACTCATAGCAAATGCTGTTTACTTTCATTAAGCCAATAAAAGAAAAATATACATATAGTTTCTCAGGCAAAGCTACCGTTAGGATGAATTTTATTGCATAGATCATAATCTTAGCCTAAGAAACTAAATTTTATTTGGCTTGAATTTTATTAATTCATCCGAAGAATCTTGGAATAACTCATCAAAAGCGCAATTTATTCACATTTAAGCGTGGTTCGAGGCTATTAAAGTCAGCAGCTTTGAGGAAAGGATCCTAAATTTTATATGTTTAAAATTAAAACTAGGAACTTAATTATTGGAGGTTTTTTAATCTTTTAGGGGGTGGGGATGGCGGTATCCATATCATATGTGCTCAAAAATAAAAATGGATAAAAAATAAAATAAATTAAAAAATGAATAAATAAAAAAACAAACTAGCAGTTAAATCGAGACCTTTCCTCTTTCTATGCTGTTTCTATATACATTTGTATCATTTGAGTTGAATGCAAGAAAATAAGTAAAATACAAAAAATGCCCTTTTTCTAGTGAAATAAAAATCCTGATTTTCTGATAAACTTCCCATCCTTCTTATGTTTTTCTCTTTATGCCGATATGGGCCTTGAATAAGTAATAAAACTTTATGAGTTGTTTTATATTTAAATGAATTAAGATCATCAGTTTAGAACCTATGAAGTAGATCAGAACTTTACATTGGCGAGACTGTTTGTAAATTGGGAGGGGGGGGGGGGCAGAGAAGGTCGGATTTGGGACTGAATGTCATGAAAAGTCATTCGTGTTTGTTGAGCATAAATTAAATTCCAAACAAGCATTTTAAAAAGTAAAACAAGGTAATGCAAATGACTATTTCATAACGAAAATTGCTATTTCTCGAGACTGAAAAATTCTAAATAAAATAAAAATATATTCCGCTCATTTTGACAGGAAAATAATGGATCATATTAAAGGAAACGAACGTCATACGAAGAACTTTTGGGTCGGTTTTAACGGCTACCGAATTTGTTGTTCTGTCGTTAAAGGTTATAATTTACCTACATCACCTCACAACGTAAGGGGTCCTGAAGCCACTCATGACCGTTGGACCTCTGACAAACTTCATTCGATATTCTACGGGCTTGCCTCTCTCATTGTGAAGCACCAATCAGATCGGAGCCTTCATACGTTGATATATAACTTATACAGAAAGTAATCAGTTGGCACCTCAGTGCACGTGTTGCAGGTTGTCACCGATATAATATGTGATTGATCTCGAAATAGGAAAAACAATCAAGATTTGTAATTTACCGGAAGGACGTCGCTGCAGTCAATCCGTAGAATATTAGAGAGGTTAAGATTTTGAACTTGTACGCGTACATGTACGTGTGTACGTGTACATTTTTTTTGTAATTTGTCCGTTGAGATTTAATGACGTGTAACATGAACATGTAGACTGTCATCGGTGTCTCTGTTTCAACTTTGTAGTAGTTTTGTGACATTATAGTTGACTTTAGTTAGTGAACAAAACATCGTTAAAATAAGTGTTCATGAAACTTAACATCCTAAATAAATAACAACAATAACACACATAAATTGACTAGTTTTTATTGAAAAAGGTACAAGTTTACACCTACGTGTAGATGCCTTTTTACAAGTTGTAGGAATGTGTAGAAAACTTATCAACACCACAACTGATGAGGTAATACGCAAGAAATTTAGGGAAATCCCCTACTAGACGTACACGAATGAAATCTCAACCTCTTTATTGAATGAAGTCGGTCGTGGGGTCCAACGGCCACGGGTGGACTCGGGACCTCTGACGTTGTAAGGATGAAAAAAGGGCAGCTTTTGTGTCAAAAAATACACCATATAATGGTTGACTGATTCGCGTATTAATAGTTAATTCGATTTTCACATATTTTAGACTTCAAGGATTTAAAATCGGCCTTTCTTTAAAAATATTCCATACTTTTGATGTCTGGGGCGGCATTAAAACTCAAGAGTTCTATTGCAGATGCTTTCATGTTTCTACGACTCATCGTTTATTAGAAGTTTTAGACTTCATCGAAGAAAGGGAAAGAACTTAGGATCAACCTATCAAGGCGGTTGCCGCCAGTTGTCTCGAATCCCTCTCGGGCTAATTTCAGCGATTAGCGTTAATTGCACCTATATTGAATTAACCCCAAAGCAAGGACGGACGTAATAGAGATACATAAATAAATGGTTATGTGTGTCTCTGTAAATAGACAGTGCGTGAGATGAGCATTAAACATTAGAATACATCGAGACCGCAATCTTGGAATGGTACCTTGACGGACATTTCTTTTAATTTAACGATCATGAACCCTGAAAATATCCCAGGATATATATATATATATATATATATATATATATATATATATATATATATATATATATATATATATATATATATATATATATATATATATATGTATATATATATATATAGAGAGAGAGAGAGAGAGTCTAAATTGATTGATTGTATGTTGTTTTAGAATTTTTCACTCATATAGAGACGCCACCATATACCGGTGAAGGGTTTCAAATTCAGACCCTTACTCAACACTCAGGACCATTGAGCAGTAATTAGGACCAACGTCTGCCGTGACACGGGGTCTCAGTCTTTAAGGTCTCATCCGAAACGAGAAAAAATAGTAGCTACCTATATTTTTTATCGACTTAGGTCAGTCGCGAGCGGGGTTTGAACCCACGACCTCCGAAGACGGAGCGAGCGCTCTACCTTCTTCTACTAGAAGAAGGGTGGCGCAGTGGTTAGGGTGTCTGCTCTAGAGTCGCGTAGTAAGGAGTTGACCCTTACGTCGCGGGTTCGAATCCCACTGGGGGACGTGGAGACCGGTCCTTCGCATGAGACCGTATAAACCGAGGTCCCGTGTCGCAGTAGGTGCTGGCATGAAAAAGATCCCTCACTGCACAATGGCCGTAAGTGCCGAGCATAGGACAAAATTTGCAGCTCTCCTCCGGCAAGTGATGGCGTCTCCATATGAGTGAAAAATTCTCGAGAGGGACGTTAAACAACATACAAACAAAAAAAACTAGAAGAAGGCCGCAGTCAAGACCCCTAAAAAGCAAGTAGCTGCTGGTAACAAATAGAAAGTTTTAGTTTTTGCTTTCAACGAAAGTCCTTTTCAAGGCTTTGAAACGTTGACACTTTCGACTTAATAAATAGAGTGTTGTATAAATCATTACCAAATATTATAGTCTTGATATTAAGTCATAGGGAAAAAAATACAGTAAGATCTAATTACCAAATATTATAGTCTTGATATTAAGTCATAGGGAAAAAAATACAGTAAGATCTAGCAATGTTACAAAATCACAATTCTCTTTTTACTCATTTCTTCAACACACCTGTTGTCATAAAGTTTTAATTAACTTCACTCGAAGTGAATGTGGAGTATGACAATGGCTATGTGTAACTTAATCATGTAAAGAGATGAAGCATTTTAAATAAAAATAACGAGGAATTAAAACGGAAATAAAACACACATCTGTCATACCAATATATATTTTGGACATTTAAGTAATTTAAATTAAGGAGGGATTCTTGTCTGATTTCTGACTAGATGAAATATTCAAAGTATATTTGCTTATATGCTTTATATATTTAGATGTAAGAGATTTAAAAGATCATAATTTTCTTTCCTCATCACAATTGTACAACTTTAAATAGAAATGGTAAACCGAGTTTGAAATCTAGCAGGGACTATATTTTTGGCGGAATGGCGGCGTATGAAAATATCTTCTTTTCTGCCTCTCAGAATAATTATAGAACAATGAATTTAGTTATAATTTTTACACAATCAAAGACTTGGAGAAAATTTTTAAATGTAAGCTAAATAAATAATAATGGACTAAAGTTTTAAAATATATCAAATAAATATGATTTTCCAAACAAACTACAATTATGTTAGCTTTTAAAAGCTTCCAATCTAAGTTCAGATTTGAGCCAAAAATCCGTAAAAAGTGTTTTTTCTCTCTTAGTAAACGGTCCAAACATTTTGTTTTTATATCATTTTGTATCTTTATGTGACAACTTTACCATATGTGAAAATAAGAAAAATTTAAATATAGGAAGCATATAAAAATAACTAAAATATCTTAAAAAATTTAAGAAAAATAGAGAAAATTCGGATTAGCCAACATCCATTTTAGTTAAATTATTTATGTCAATTTTGTAATATCATCTTATAGACCCTATATGGTAATATCCCTTTATGCAAAAAGAAAAACATTAATTTATTGAAATAGAAGTAGGCATCACATGATTGGAAACAGTAATTTTTTATTCTTTATGTCCAGGGAGAAGGTACTGACCTTGACCTGACCTTGCCTCTAATATAAAATGGTCAAATTTAATCTAACTGATACCATCACTTAGTGATATTGTCTTCTTGATTCTGTGAAAATTTCATTGATTTTTAAATATAAGAAATAAGTGTTCTTATGAGAAGAATCCCTCCTTAAGAACATTCCTTTCATATAAACATAGTATTTGGACTATGGTTTAATCGGACTTATTTTAGTTCGATCTCACTGCATGGTGTCATCTTCGTCAACGAAAATATTCAGTCTCTGTTTGTATAATGATGACTTCTTGTGAATACTTATCTAGCAACAGTTTTTAAACTCTTTGTGGAAAACCATATGTTTGTCAAAATCATTGTTACATTGTTACATGTAGGTGATATTGTCTTTAGTGTATTGTGTTTAGAGCCTCCATGGGGGAAACATTTACCAGTGTTGGGTGATACTGTGTTCGATGGTATCAATAAATGACGAATAGCATAGACAGAATTTCTAAAGTATTACTGAAGCAATATATGATATCTACCTGCCAGAACAGAATTAAACAATGTTAAGAGTTATAATGGCCGATACCTGATAGAAGATTAATAATGAACGATGAATTAGAACCACAGAGAGCAGCCACATTAAGAGTAAAAAATCATCACAAACATTCCAGTCTATGTCCATAAGCATCAGAATAGCTGTGATTAAGACAGGAAACTGTTTTGAAACATACCCTTTATCTTTTTTTTTTTTTAATAACACAACAGTGTTTCAATTTTCAATAAAATGGAAAATCATTAAAAAAAAAATCCTTAAAATCCTTTAAAGCAAAAGAGAACGGTCAACTGAGTATTATGGATTTTTTTTTCAGGCTATGACCCCTTCGGCTCCACCCTCCAGTTTTGTGGGTACCTGCATGGCCGTAGGAACCGGGGGGGGGGCACGGGGGGCCGTGCCTCCCCCCAATAATTTTGCCGATATATAGAATACTGTAGAAAACATAGCTGCTATATGCTTCTGCCCCCTCAATAATAATGTCTGATGACCTTTTTTTTTTTTTTTTTTTTTTTTTTGCTTGTCAAGGAATTTTGGTAGTTCATAGTACCCCCCACAACTTAAAATGTCTGGTTGTGCCCCATCAAAGTGAAATTGCTTCCTACGGGCCTGTCCAGTGTAATATACATGTATTTTCAATGTGAGGACCTGTGTAATATATTTTCAATGTGAGGACCTTTGTAATATGTTCCTGTGTATATGCAATATACTTCCAATGTGATCAACATAGCACATCTGGTGTCTGAACCATGTACCAGGGTGCCAAGAATTTCACAATTTTTGTAGACAACGCTGATTTTGAGTTAATAGAGGCTTTAATTCAGATATAGGGATTGCAATTTTTAAAAGGTTAACCGAATACTCGGTCGGAACAATGGTAATCGATTTAAAACCTGTAATTGAATTATCGAAAACAAAATATCTGCAAATTTGAACGCAATTTTCTTAAAATTCATTTTAAAAAAAGAAACATCCGCATAAACATGTATAATTTAGCGTTTTCCCATATCTATTTAAGGTGATGCCTTCTGTATTCGATTGCCATTAATAGATAAAGGCGTTATGTGTCTAATTAGATAAAGATGAAATGTACTTTCAGTATTACCAAATTGGCCACATCCCGTGGCCTGAACGGTGTGTTCCCGTTTTGCACACATTTGATAATTAGGCATATAACAATAGGTGTGAAATATGTTTTGATAACAATTATAGTCTGATCTTCGTCTAGGATTTACCTCGAATTACCTGTATTTTACCAATGCATTATAATAAATATTTAAGGGAATACATTATGAGAATTTTACTTATCCAACCGAAGATGAAGTTGGTAGTTTAGACAAATACATATCCCTATCGCATTTCACCATGTTCAGTTCAGTTCAGTATAGGAATTCCCTCTTGTGTATAAGGAGCACCCGAGAAGGTGGTATCATAAAAAGACATAAAATTAAAATTTAAAAGAGTAAAGTGATGAAAAGCAGTAAGTAAAACCTATTCTAATACACAAAATTTGCATGTTTCTTTATTTCATAAAGATAAAATGAATAAATAAATGAATTCAATCTTATATTAACCTGTCTAGTTAGTATCATGTGAATATAATTATAGTTTTGTGTTATCTTTTATATTTAAAATGATTTTTTCAAGAATTAAGTCAAAATATCAAGTGCAAAATTAACATTTTTTCTTCCTATTCTTTCCGTAGAATCTCTTTCTCCAAATTCACAACTATGATATAGACTATAGCAATTAAGTAATTATCTTACCTGGACAAATTCCCGTTTTGCACACATTTTTTCAATACATGAAATTCAGATGTGTGCAAAACGGGAACAAACCTACGTGAACCATGGGTAAGGGCAATTAGTTTGGGTAGAGGTTTAAGTGTTAATTATCATTCCAACAGTTTGTCAGCTAGATAATCACGAATAAAGAGATTTTAAAATTGGTGTGTTATGTATTTTTATTAAATGATGTAAACCTAACTCCAACCTGGGGCCTGAGCCATTTCAAAATTCTGTTAGAGTGCGAAATGTTATATTATAATTATGGCAATAGTTTGTCTACAACATTTCCACGGGTAGAGAGGGTTATTTAAGGTGCCAACGAGCCCAACCCTAAGGCTGTATCTATAGACCCATTAATTTTGAATTTATTTTTTAATGGTTTTGACCACATCTCTCAGGCCTCAGAGAAGCAGAGACCATGAATTTCACAATTTTGTTCCCCTTTTCCCCCAAAATGCTCTATACCAAATTTGGTTGAAACTGGTTTAGATGAAGCAGAGAAGAAGCTGAAAATTTCAAATATTAACGGACATCGCGCGACAAGAATACAAGAGGCCCAGGGGCCACATCGCTCACCTGAGCACTTTGGCTAGGAAAAAGCAGAAATCATTCAGTATTGAAAAGTTTAAATATAAAAGTGGTGGTGGGGGGGGTGTTTGATTTGAACAAGCTTTAATCTTAACTTCCTTAGGATGTTTTTGAATTAATATGACACATAAGGGCTTTGCTGTTCATAAGATGAATTTTTTTTATTGATATATCCTTTATATTCCCTTGTATAAATATGATCCCCTGTTATGGCCCCTTTATTCTCGGGGGGGGGGGGGGGGAGGTCATGATTTGAACAAATTTAAATCTAAATTAACTGAGGATGCTTTTATATTATTATGACCAATCATGCCTTTGTTGTTCTTGTGAAGATTTTTCAAGATTTTTCCTATGTAAAACTTTTATCGCCCATTTTGCCCCCCCCCCTCACCCACCCCTGGGGGTCATGATTTGAACAAGCTTAAATCTACACTACCTGAGGATGCTTCCATATAAATACGTCTAATAATCATGGCTTTTTGATTTCTAAAGATTTTCCTATGTATTCCTATGTAAAACTTTGATTCCCATTGTGGCCCCACCCTACCCTCGGGGGTCATGATTTGAATAAATTTGAATCTACACTACCTGAGGTTGCTTCCATATAAATATGAAAAATCATGGCTTTGTTGTTCTTGAGAAGAGAATTTTTAAAAGTTTTCCCTATGTATTCATATGTAAAACTTTAATCGCCCATTGCGGCCCCACCCTACCCCTGGGGGTCATGATTTGAACAAACTTGAATCTACACTACCCCAGGATGCTTCCATATAAATATGACCAATCATATGGCTTTGCTATTCTTGAGAAGAAGATTTTCAAAAATTTTCCCTATATATTCATATGTAAAACTTTGATCACCCATTGTGGCCCCACCCTACCCCCAGGGATCATGATTTGAACAAACTTGAATCTACAATACCTGGGGATGCTTCCATGTAAATATGACCAATTATGACTTTGCTGTTCTTAAGAAGAATATTTTTAAAGATTTTTTCTATGTATTCCTTTGCAAGACTTTGACCCCCCATTGTTGCCCCACCCTACCCCCGGGAGTCATAATTTGAACAAACTTGAATCTACACTACCTCACAATGACATAAGTTTCATACTTTCAAGCACATTGGTTCTCGAGAAGAAGATTTTAAATGATGCCATTAATTTTTCGCAAAATCATAATTATCTCCCCTTAGAAGAAGGCGTGGCCCTTCATTTGAACAAACTTGAATCCCCTTTACCCAAGAATACTTTGTGGTAAGTTTGGTTGAAATTGCATGGCCCAGTGGTTCTTGAGAAGAAGATGAAAATATGAAAAATTTACGACAACGACGACGACAGACAACGGACAAATTTCAATCAGAAAAGGTCACTTGAGTCTTCGGCTCAGTTGAGCTAAAACATTATAACATTAGTTTATATACATTGATCAACAGGTGTTACATAACACATTTGTTTTTTTTTTAACAAGAATTTTTGAAAGCTTTTGATACACAGAAAACTTGTCAATGATACTCGACCACAAATAAATTATCATAACAAAGCCTAGCACACAATCTTTGCACACACAAAATTATCAATGTGGTTGTTTAAAATGTTTATAAAGGTTCCATGTTGCTAATAAAGATTCCGGTGAAGTTATCAAATGATATCCAATCACTGTTTTAAAGTTCATTGTAACAGCTGCGTGTGATACAGATCCAGGCATATTTCTTACCAAACCAGGACAACTTTTAGGCATGATATTCAGTTTAGCAGCAACAATACCGAGATAAGCATCATCTATAGGAATTGCTTTAATGTAGGGAATAGCAATGCTGAAATATGAAGTCACGTCCTGTGACGTCAGAATAAAGAATCCCCCAAGATAAGGAGGGTATTTGTCAAAAGGATATTCCTTCCATGAAACAAACCACTTGGAATCTTCATCCCTATAAGGAGTTGAGAAGCGAAGTAACTGCCCAGCCAACAACCCCCGTCTTCTCTCTTTACGTTCTATGTACTTCTTGACGTTTTCTAGATTAACAAATACATCATCATCAACATAAAGAATAAAATCTGCATTTGGACAGAACTCGGCTGCCCAATTAAATGCCATGGTTGTTTTCAGGGTGTTATTCTTGTAGCTATCTATAAAGTCCTCTTGAACAATATCTGTATAGGAATCCGATTCATTTCTGATTTTAGCCTCCAAGCCAGCAATGTGACCAAGCATGAACACTATTGTTATATCACTATCCGTCATATGTCCCCATGTCTTCCGAATTGCATTTCTCATTTCAAAATTTGATGCTTTTGATTTAGTGAGAATCACTAAACTTAGCTTCTTTTTCTTACACCTGTCTGCAGCCGTATAGACATACCTATAAGGATGTGGATTGATTCGGTGGTTCCCTATTTTCTTTCCATTTAGTACAGCCTTTGTTAATTGAGAAAAGTCTACTTCTAGAGGGTATTGGCGAGAGTTAAAATTCATTTTCCTTTTTTGAACTTCTCTCGTGTCCAAAGTTGGCCACAATTTTAACATAATGACATCTACTTTGCGGGAATTAGGTGCACTTACCGTGGCCTTTAAGTCCTTAATTAGATCCGTCTTCATATCTTCTTTATTTTTTCGATTTAATTTATGAATATTTTGGTTTCCATTCTTTAAATTTTCAATCACTTGAAATTGTTTTGACACAACAGAGTATAAATAAATCCAAACAATGACCCATAGACTAAAAAAAATTGTTAGAAAATATTTCCGGATTTTCCCTTTTCTAAGAAGTGACTCCAAACATGTCATACTTGGACTACCTGTTTATCTGGTGTATTGATTCGATGATTTGGGAAGCACAAAAGAGTGTTGAATGTATTAAATATCCGTAATCCACATATAAATAATCGGACGTACGAATAATAATTATTGACACAAATGGTTAAAAACAAAATTGAAATAAGCTTTCAGGGTCATTCATATGGATCTCACTTGCATAGCGACGCTTTTAGATTTTAAAAATAGCTTAAGTTATGTTCTAATTCACCAGTTAAACCGAACATAAATTGCTCATAAAACTCAAAACACTTTTATATAGGATAAGGTTGCATGCACAATGCAACAGATTTTAACAAGATAATATTTAATGCAAAGCATCAAATTGGCCGCAAACGTTCCGCGTACTTATCCTAAGGAGGTGAGGCATCTACACCCCACTTCTACTGCGAAAAACAGACCTTCCATTCATTTTGTTGACAATCCTTCACTAGGTTTTGGTACTTTAGGTTTTTCCTATCGTACTCATCCTCCATTCTGTCTTCCCATGGTACTGTTAATTCTATAAGAATTGTCTGTTTTGTTGCCACTGACCAGATAACTATGTCAAGTCTCTTGTTTGTAACTGTTATCTCAGATGGAAATTCTAATCTTTTCTTGAGGTCTGCCCGCATCTGCCAATCTATCGCTGTCCGCAGCAGACCACTTCCTTCCACACTAACTTTATTTCCTTTTTCACCTTCTTTCACAAAGTTCACAAATCTCAGGCCCTCTCTTTTTCTTTGGCATTTTGATACTTTTCTCCAAGGTGTCAGCTATACTGGCTAGGACTCTATCATGTCTCCAAGTGTATCTTCCTTCTTTCAAAACCCCCGAGCATGCTGATAATATGTGCTCCAACTTTGCTGGTTCACTACATAGGACACATTTTGGATCATTTGTCACTCCCATTGTTACAAGATTAGTTGGTCTGGGAAAAACATCGTAAACTGATTTCAGCTTAAATTGAAGTCTGAATGGTTCCATCTTCCAAATATCATTCCATCCTAACTTCTCCGTAATTTTCCCAGTTCAACCAGCTACCCTGTTTCTTCATTCCAACTGCTCTCACCATTCTAGAATCTTCCTCCATCGCACGAACTTCTCACTGCACCAAATTTCGTTTCTCATCTACCGAAGCTGTCCACCATCTTACTGTTGGCGTGACTTCAAACCCTTGCCTTCCTATTGTCAGTCTTCCAACTATATCACTATGTCTCAAGCGGTATTCTGCATCCTCTATAGTTTTCTTTACTAACCACTTTCTCTCTGTCCTAATTTCTACTTTAAATTTGTTTCATCCTTGCTATTCTGTAATATTAAATGTTGACCCACTTTTAAATCTTTAGTCCATAGTTATTAATTTCAATAATTTCAGAAAACTTCTTTTAGTTGTTGATTGTTTAAAATTTTAACTAAATTCATTGTTCTGTAGTAATAATGAGATATTTTCATACGCCGCACTTCCGCCAAAAATATAGTCCCTTCTAGATTTCAAACTATGTTTACCATTTCTATTCAAAGTTGTACAATTATTAGAACGTTGTTATTTGCAACACTGACCACGAATTCTTTGCTTACAGTATGTGTCCAAATGCTGTTTGGCGCATTGGCGCATGCGTCTATCTGCTGTCGGAGTCGGAGGCGAGTTCGAAACTTTTCTGCTGTTTCTTAATTGTTTGTAAGCTTAGTAATAACGAAAGAAACAATACTTGCATAGAGGGCTAATATAGGATGTAACTGATGCTCACTTCCTTCAACTTATTGTGAATAAAACATTCTTTGAGAGAGTCGTAAAACAAATTACCAGTTTGTAGCTGGACTTTCAATTGTGCAAAATTTTCCACTTAAAGTGCAAATACCTCTTGAACAAGGAAAACGTGTCAGAGATGTCCGGAGTCTTGGGCATGTTTGTTTGTACATAATCAGCAACTTTTCTCTGCATGTCTGCATTAAATTAGTAGAAGCTAGGCTCGTCTAGTATAGACTGATTTCGATATTAAGCTAAATAAATTGTAGCTATCTGTTTCGACATAAGCCAAGGAATAGTCTCTTGCAATGTAGCAGCGAACTTAGAATGACTTAAAAACAACCGCAAGTCTACCTTGACTGAATCATGCGTAGCACGTATTCAACCTATTCACCCGTAAACAAAATATTAGATCTATATACTGTATTAATAACAAACACACGTGTTTTCCCATAATTTTTATAAATATATCCTATTTCAGACATCTGTGGACATTTTTTCAAAGAACAAAAATTTGTCTTATTATTGCCAAAAAATCTGTAAAAATGCTTTTAGTTGATAAAATGTTCCGCCTTTAAATAAGAAAAAAAATCAGAGATATTGATTTTAAGCTCTCAGTGAGTGAATTGATGAAAAAATCCTATTATCTGAGAGAAGATATAAAAAAAAGCGTGTAACTTTTCATCATCAAGTCAAACATTTTACAGTTACTTAGAAAATAAACGTATGTTTTCTCCTGTACACAAGAATCTTGTTCACTGCTGAAACAAAGTACACATTTGAAGTTTACCATTTGAAAAAAAAGTGTTCATTCTTGTTATACTAACTTATGCTTGTTATACTAACTTTTCCTATGCATTACGTCAGCCGGACTTTATCGTAGTGCGATACGATAGCGTCCAAGGGTAGTCCGGGTATATATGGGTATATTATATGAGCGTTTTGTAGAAAGCTGGCAGTTGCCAGTAGCGGAGCTCAAGGGAGAAGGTCGTTGAAAGCTTAATTATTACAAGGTACGGTGGAGTGTAAAGGCCTTTGTGGTACAGTATACGGTGTCTAGTATACTGAGTATATATTATTTGAGGGTTAATAAAGTGTTAATTACTTTTCCTCAGAATAATTATTAAGATCTGTCCGGGCATAGGACAGAAACCTTTGAAACTCGTACCTGTCGTGGTATAGATATACCTCGAGGACACAGACCTGTCCGGGTACAGTACACATCCCGGGTTGAGATACGTATCTGTCCTGATAGATACATCCAGGACACAGACCTGTCCGGGTGCCAGACCCATACGTATTATTTGTTGGTTATATGTTAAGGATGGGGAATCCTATTATTACATCTGTATATATTGACTCGTTTATTTTCACATGCTTTGTCACTTATCATTTCTAATCATTTGTTTAATTAATTGTCTTGATTATGGATCTATACTCAAATACACGGACCCAAACACGTTACAATTCTTTGCCATTTGTAATGTTAAGTTGGCATCTCCTAAGCATTTCCTTTCAGGACGAATACTACACCAACATTTTATTTACTGAATATTTTAAACATATATAGTCTGATTTCAGCATTCAAGACTGAAAAGTTAATACTTAATGTGATTTTTTTAAAGGGAAAATGTCACAAATGTTTTATTTGCAGTGTAAATCTTATACCGTACCCAAATCAGACTTTTTTAGTTTACTAAAACATGTCAAGGTCGTTTTAATTTTAATTGGGCTTGTTTAAATTTTAAAATTAGCAACTTTTAATTTTTTTGGAATTTTTGAAATATATTTTTAAATAATATGATTGTCTAGCATTTCTTTTAGATCAACTGAGTCACTCACGTGACCTACTGCTATCAGTTTTCGTCCGGCGTCGTGTGTTGTGTTGTGCGTCGTCGTAAACTCTCTGGAACTGTTTCAGTCGTTTTCAAGCAATTTTGGAACAAAAGTATCTTGGCATGCGATGTGGGACCAAAACCGTTAAGAATTAATGAAATCTTTAAAAAATCTTTTTTCTAAATCCTGGACATTAACCAGTAAAACCGTTGACATGATTTTATAAGCAATAAACCATTTACCAAACATTTTAAATTCATGGCCTCTGTGTCCAGCATTCAAGTCCCAGGGTGGGGCTAAGTTGGTGATATTATGAAAATGCATTAAATCTTGCAAAATCTTCTTCTCTTCTCATGGACATCTAGCAGGCAAATTGTGAAATTCATGGACAGGGTGGGGGCAAAGTTGGTCATAAATTGAAGATACAGTACAACTTTAAAAATCTTTTTTTAGAGAAAATTTCTTCTTTACTCTTGGATATCTAACGGATGCTTTGTGAATAAGGTCCCTGAGTACGGAAGCCGGTTGGTGCCAGGTAGAAAAAATATTTTATCTGGCGGCCGCCAGGTAATTATTTGGTGGCCGCCAGATAAGTTTCTGGCGGCCGCCAGTTATTTATGTGGCGGCCGCCAGATGAAATATTTTTCAACCTGGCACCTACCGGCTTCCTTATCTGAGAGAAAAACTGCATGATTATTGATAATAATATAATAATATGATAATGCATGATTACTATTTGTATTTTATTAATAAACATTAATTTACCAAATCTGTAAAGTTCATTTCTCCTTGGACGAGCATTCAGACTGCAGGGTGGGGCTTAGTTGGTAAACTATATTGAAAATACATTACATCTTTAAAAAAAATCTTCTTTTATAACAGACATCTAGGTCATGTATTAAAAACTCATTAAATCCTTGAAAATCTTCTTCATTGCTCATGAACAGCTCATCAACAACTGTTTGAATGTTTATCACGAACACATAACACTTGACAGCAATCAGTGAGATGGTGAAATGTGCAGAAACTATCAGGCTAAAAAAGTAGAGAAATGGAACAATATGCTAGTAAAACAAGATATAAAGGCAGCGAATCAGGACAGACAGAATTAAAATAAAGATTTGCCTTAATTGTAACATAAGAGGTAGTATATGAAAGATTTTTGATAGCGAAAGGGCAAATTATGTAGCAGAGTGTATGGCAACAATTACATGGTAGATTTTGATTTTTTCCCCTCCAAAGTGTCGAAATAGAGCGTTACGTAATTCTATTAATACCCTTCTCGATTGATTAAATGGTACATGTACTTAATTCACGATTTTATACATTATTTGTACCATTGCTTTGGTTTCAAAGAATAAAGAAAATGAATTGAGTTATATTAAGTTCACGAAGAGCAATTAGATTGGCATTTAAAACATACTCTTCA